TCAGACTCTCGCGAGACATTTGTTGCAACTTTGATCAATCCACTTGATGCTGACAACAGCAGCAGCAACGGCAACAGGAACAACACCGGCGCTAGCAGCAACGACAAGGGCAACAACAGTGATCAAGCACACATTAAGAGCAAAAAAAGTTTAAAAACAGAGCAACCTGAGATAAGTGACACAAGCAAAAATGTCAACGAGAACTCAACAAAAACAGCAAATACTGAAGCAAGCAACAAAACCGGCAGCAGAAGTAATGGCATTAACGAAAGCGAACCTACTGCAACAACAGAAACAGCAGCAGTCGATTCACTAGACGCCCATCAAAGCGCAGCAGACGAGAAGCCAGCATTCAAAATAAGTATTGTGCCACTGGAAAAACTGCTAGCACAACCAAACAAGAAGAGCAATAGCACCATCAGCACCAGCCCAAGCAGTAGTCCAAGCACCAGACCAACTAGAAACGCCGCCGTCGCAGCCGCCGGCAAACTAACCGTTCAAGCAAGTAGAACGAATTCTAATTTGAGGCCAGCCTCTGTGTTGCCGCCACGACAAACTCGCAATAAAAACGTATCGATTATCGAACTGAGCGACAACGAGGAATCAACTGACGAAGACGAAATTATTGCATCTCCGAGAAAATCTACACGCAGTAGGCGCATTACATCCTCGTCTTCAGATCGAAGCATAGACCGGGCTTCGAAGCTCCCGCCAGCTACCAAACAGAGCTTGCTCTCTAAGCTGCTGATTGATAGCGATAGCGGGACAAACGACGAGCCGACGTTCAAGGTGCGTCGCTGTGTGGTGCGTTTGAAGCGCATCAAGCTTCCCACTGCAGCGCCTCGATCAACGGGGGCTGCATTATCGGCAGTTGCAGAAAGTGCGGGCTCTGAGAGTGCTGCATCGGAACGTGCAGTGTCAGAGGGTGCAGCATCTGAGATTGTAGCAACAACTGCTGAAAAGGAAGCGAACGCAAAGCGCAAGATGAGCAGCGATTCCGAGCAGGAACAGGCGAGCACCTCGAAGCGCAATCGCCGGAATAGAAAGGCCAGCGATAATAATTCCGATTACAAAACGGCCGATGAGGAGCAAGCCGAATCAGACCTGGAAAATAAAGGTAACTCCGATGAGGATGGGGAGGCTAGCGCACAAGCCGAAGATGGCCAGAGCAGTTCCAGTGAGGTGATGCCACAACGCAAGCGTCGTAATTTTGGCAAAAAAGATGACGGCTCCGCGCAAGACTCGTCCGACTTTGAGCCCGAGGAGAAGAAGAAAAAGAAACGCAAACGAATCAAAAAGAACTCTAGTGGCGACAGCGACGATGGTGACGACGAGAAGAACAAGAACAAGCGTAAGCATATACGCAAAATAATTAAGACTAAAGATTTGGATTTGACCACCAAGGAGGCGGCTAAAGAGGAAGAGGATCGTCGGAAGCGCATCGAAGAGCGCCAAAAGCTCTATAACCGCATCTTTGAGAAATCGGAAAGCGTTGAAATTAGCGAATTGGTCCTGGACTTTGATGAGGAGTCCAAGAAGGCGCTGCTCCAGGTGGACAAGGGACTGCTCAAAAAGCTAAAGCCTCACCAGGTAGCGGGCGTGAAATTCATGTGGGATGCCTGCTTTGAGACGCTCAAAGAAAGCGAGCAAAAGCCCGGTTCTGGGTGCATCTTGGCCCATTGCATGGGTCTGGGCAAAACCCTGCAGGTGGTCACACTGTCCCACACGCTGCTCGTCAACACGCGACGCACTGGCGTTGAGCGTGTGCTGATCATCTCCCCGTTGAGCACCGTTAATAACTGGGCCCGTGAGTTTGTCCATTGGATGTCTTTCGCCCATCGTCGCGATATCGAGGTCTATGACATTTCACGCTACAAGGACAAGCCGACTCGCATCTTCAAGCTGAACGAATGGTTCGAAGAGGGCGGAGTCTGTATACTGGGCTACGATATGTATCGCATATTGGCCAACGAGAAGGCCAAGGGCTTGCGCAAAAAACAGCGTGAGCAACTGCAGCGAGCACTCGTCGACCCAGGGCCCGACCTAGTGGTCTGCGACGAGGGACATTTGCTAAAAAATGAGAAGACATCCATTAGCAAGGCGGTCACCCGCATGCGGACCAAGCGCCGTATTGTGCTCACCGGCACGCCTCTCCAAAACAATCTCAAAGAATGTAAGTAACTGCACATGTTACTTCAATTACTTCAACTATTACTATAACTACTATTTGTACTACAGTTTCGTCAGGACTTCTACTAGTAAATTATACAATATTTGCGCTGATAATCTTCAACTCCTATTGATATTCTTAACTTGTTTATTAATTTCATTTTATTTAGATTATTGTATGATTCAGTTTGTGAAGCCAAATTTGTTGGGAACATATAAGGAATACATGAATCGTTTTGTTAACCCGATTAGCAATGGCCAGTACACAGACTCTACGGAGCGCGATTTGCGATTGATGAAACATCGTTCGCATATCCTGCACAAGCTGCTTGAGGGCTGTATTCAACGTCGAGATTACTCTGTGTTGGCGCCTTATTTACCGCCGAAACATGAGTACGTCGTATATACGACACTTTCTGAACTGCAACAGCAGTTGTATGGCTACTATATGACAACGCATCGGGATCAGGGTAGCTCCGATATTTGCGGCAAGGGAGCACGTCTGTTTCAAGACTTCCAGGACTTGCGTCGCATCTGGACACATCCTATGAATCTGCGCGTAAATAGCGATAATGTTATCGCAAAACGTTTGCTTAGCAACGACGATTCGGATGAGATGGAAGGCTTCATCTGTGATGATTCCGAGGAGGAAGATGTAGCGTCCAATTCATCAGAAAGTGCTGAATCGTTCAAGTCAGATGCTAGCTTAACCATGGTCAGCTCAGATGCCGCGGGCGGCAGTAAAGTAAAGGGTCGTAAGACACGCAACGGTGTGCGCTCTGGCTTGGTTGATAGCGATTCGGATGTGGAGGCTATCGGTGGCGGTGCAGCTGCTCAGAAGGATGATCCCTCCGAATGGTGGAAGCCCTTCGTTGAAGAGAGGGAGCTAAACAATGTCAATCATTCCCCCAAGCTGCTAATTCTGTTGCGTTTATTGCAGCAGTGTGAAGCGATTGGTGACAAGCTCCTCGTCTTCTCCCAGTCTCTACAATCTCTGGATGTCATTGAACATTTCCTCTCATTGGTGGACAGCAATACTAAGGGCTATGAATTTGAAGGTTAGTCTTTCGTTTTTTTCTCCTCATTCCCAAGCTAACAATTCTATTTTAGGTGATGTTGGAAACTTTAAGGGCTGCTGGACACCTGGCGAGGATTATTTCCGTTTGGATGGGTCTTGCAGTGTGGAGCAGCGTGAATCTATGTGCAAGAAATTTAATAATGCCAGCAATTTACGTGCCCGTCTCTTTCTCATCTCAACACGTGCCGGTGGATTGGGCATCAATTTGGTGGCCGCTAATCGGGTGGTCATATTCGATGTCTCATGGAATCCATCGCACGACACGCAGAGCATCTTTCGTGTATATCGCTTTGGGCAGGTGAAACCGTGCTATATATACCGCTTGATAGCCATGGGTACCATGGAGCAGAAGGTTTATGAACGTCAGGTGGCCAAGCAGGCAACGGCCAAGCGTGTTATTGACGAACAACAGATCTCAAGGCATTACAATCAAACGGATCTAATGGAATTGTACACTTATGAGCTCAAGCCGAGCACTGAGCGTGAGATGCCGCTGCTGCCCAAGGATCGTCTGTTTGCTGAGCTGTTGACCGAGCATGAGAAATTGATATTTAAGTACCATGAGCACGACTCACTGCTGGAGCAGGAGGAGCACGAGAACCTAACTGAAGAGGAGCGTAAGTCCGCATGGGCCGAATATGAGGCGGAGAAGACGCGCGCCGTGCAGGCATCTCAATATATGAGCTATGATCGCAATGCTTTTGGCGTCCAGATGGCCAATCAATTTGGCAATGCGTCGGGCAGCGTTACATCCAATAAAATATTTGGATTCCGTTCGGATATTTTATTGCAGTTACTCAACATGAAGATATCTAAAGATCATCCGGAGCTAACACAGAATCAAGTCATACAACTGGTGCCAAGCTATTTGCAGCAGTTATACAATGAGATGAACAACGGGGATCCAACCATGTACAAGGATCTCTTACAGCTGCATACGCACATTGTGCACCCCAGCGGCATGTATATGAATCCCTTGCTCTACGCTAACCAAAACCCATCGGCAGCGGGCTATACTCAAGCAACTGGACAGCCAGCTGGTGGCGCTATACCTGCGCCACCCAATGCCAATCCCCCAGGATTTGAAGCGGACAAGGTATACGAGATTGACTAGATTGCATCCTCACGAAGTCCAATCATATTAACACATACAATTCGACTCGCGTTGTGGAGGAAGGTAGAATGGGGATGCCGATTGCTACATCAATTGGTTGGCGTTCTGTCCCCAATCCAACATTTTATACATATGTTGATTATTTTTTTCGATACGATTTAATGTTAGTTAATTGACGTCTTTATTTTCATATTGAGAACAAAAACAAAACAAAAATAAGAATTTGTTTTCATGCATTCATGAATATAGCCCAAGCCTACGTTTATATAGTTTTTATGCCTCAGTTAAGCTCGAAACTGTCCTAATACATTTAGATATACATTAGATATCGATACCAATTCACATACACATATATACACACAAACACACTCACACACATACACATAAGCGAGCAAACATTTAATGAGTTACACACATAGATATATTAGCTATTATACGCGATCTTTGCTAAGGTCTACAAAATTTAACTACACACGCAGTAAAATAAAAAAACAATAAATGGCACAGAATACGATAAATAAATAATTGCGTTTTTTAATTAATTCTAAAGAAGACATTGTTTAGACCGAAATGCTGGATTCATCAGTTTCGGGTGTTATTTATTAAAGATTTGTATGACTTAATCCGTAAATTATATTCTACATATGTATGTATATTAATAATAATCACTTAGGTGGTAGCTTGCCCATCATACGCATTTGCATTTGTTGTGCCTGCAATAAATGCTGCTGGCTTCCAGGCATTTGACCGGATGGCATACCGCCCGGTTGCATACCGCTCATTAGGCCGGGACGTGGGCCCGGTCCACCTAGAGGTGGCATACCGCCGGGACAAGGGCCTGGCATCATAGCAGGGCCAGGACGTGTGTGCACACTTTGTTGTATGTCGGATAAACAAGCCTTCCACTCCTCCAACCGATTATAATGCTTCTGCAGCAGCGTCTCCTTACGTTGTATCTCAATACTCAGATCTTGATTCTCATCCTTGATAAGCATATACGGCTTTAGCGTGGAGACAAGAAATCGCTTTTGCAGAAAAAATGCTTCCATTTGACGAGCCACATCAATAAAGCGATTTGTTGTCTTTTGCACTTCCAACTCAATTTCCTCTTTGTTAGTACCGGAGTTGGGCTCTTGTTTGGTTAGCGAAAGCAGACAGGACTGAAACGCTTCTTCAAATTCGTCCATTAAATTGCCGCTACCATTTTCGTTATTGGGCGTAGACATATTTCTTCTTTATTTCGTAGATTTACTTTTTATTTAAAAGTATAATGTGTTTTTACTTCGATGTAAACAATTATTCAGCGGTTGCAAAATAAAGCGGTCCAGTGAGTACTAAAAAATACCGGAAAATAATTCATTGATACGGCATCACTGCTTATAGAAGAAAAACATGCCGAATTAATACTTTTCTGTCTAAAAAGCAATATTTCGGGAATTGGAATTGTTTGACAAAGTTGTGCAGACCGTTTAGTTCGTAAATATTTTGCTATGCTATAAGTGAAATTAGACAGTAGAAAAACAGCTGTGTGCTAATCGATAAATATAGATAAATCGATATTATATCGCAATCAGCCTGTTACCATAATATCTTAGCTGCTATATTAATATCCGGATTTCTACTAAGAGAAAAATGAGAGCACATCTTATAATAAGGAGCTTGTACACAGCCCAATGGGGACTTTTAGCTCGCGTACCACGCCGTGCCAATCCTGGCATGGCATATCAGTTGCAAGATTTGCAACAAAATGCGGCCGAAGTGAGTGAGGATTATGCCGACAATGAAGCGGATTTTATGTCGTCACACCAGACACATCGTCAATACGAGGCACAGCAGCAGCAGCATCGAGATCGTGTGCGCCAGTTTATGATTAAACACAAATATTTCCGCGATGCCAAGCTCCCAAATTTCTTGTTGTATGCAGAAAAGGAGCAAATGCGTCTATTGCACGACCGCGATCCAGAGGAATGGAGCGTTGAGCGGCTGGCTGAGAGTTTTCCGGCTACTCCTGACATTGTACAGAAAGTGTTGCGCTCCAAATGGCGGCCACAGAGTGTGGAACGCATACGCTCCCATGATGCCAGCGTCATGAACAATTGGTCAAGACTTCGTTCTGGTAAATGCACCGATTTGCCGGCTGAGCTGCTGCAGCATCTGCAAAAATTTGCAGAACGGCAACGACAAGATCTCCAACAGTTGTCTCCAGAGCAGTGGCCGACGCGGCCGGAGCTACCAGTACCCGAAACAACAGAATTTCGCGCCTTGCTCGGCAACAAACCCAACAAGCAGCTTACAACGGGGAAACCTACCCAGCAACTAGAGACTAGGATAATGCCTCCCTCTGAAGCCGAGGACGAAACTTTTCTGCTGGACAAAGTAAAAGACAAGCGCAATATGCGCTTACAGGAGCTAAGAGAGTCACGGCTAGTGCCCCAGGAGGAGCAAAAGAAACTTATGTTGGAGCAACCGCTGCCAAATCCCAGCGGTACGGGCGTGCTACCTAGTTTTGTGCAGAAATTTGAGCGCACTGAAATTGTGGTCAGTGTTGAGGATCAGCGTAAATATGAGATGAGCAAAGTGAAGGATCGCATAGTTATACCACGCAAATTATATCGGGAAGGAGCTACATATCGCATAGAGGATGCCTACTACGATGATGATGGGGAGTTTCTTTATCGAGTGCCTGGCATGACGGGCGGAAAGCGATAAAAAAAAAAACAAATGATATATAAAATATCCCCTTATTAGAGGAACTATTGAGTTTTGTTACATAGGCCATTTGTGTCCTAAGGATAAGTAATATAATGAGGAGTTATAATAAGTGAAACGTTTTACTACAAAAATATAAACATATAAACTTTGATTGTTGTAGATTCAGTGATTGAATGCAGCAGCGATAAGATCGCTTCCCGCTAGTAGTGTATCCGAGGCAACAGTTATTTGGGCGCCAGTTAGTTTGCTCACAAAATCACAGGCTGCAATTTCCGCATAATTGGCGCCTCCTACCACAAAGACAAATAAGTTGCGCAGGCGCAGAGGAAAGACATCTGCATTTTCGGTTGATGCTGTTTTTAAATGTGCCGCATAGGCCTTGGGAGTGCTAGCTTGTGCGCCCACGTGCACCTGTAGACCTTCGATCATGGCCAGCTTTGTGGCCAACTGCTCACTGCTGGTAGCATTGAGGAGCATGGAGCAGAGCTGTGCTGCGAGCGGTATGTACATTCCATTGAATACAAAGCTGGGACAGGACTTGATAGCTGGATGACCACTGGCACTGCCAGCCGCTGCCGGCTGCTCCGAGTCCGCACAAGAGGTCAACAGTTTCAGGCGGTTGGCATTGGCTTGAAATTCGGTTTGTTGAAACTTGGGCAGTGGCAAATTGGACAACAGTTTGGCAGATGTCTTGCGTTCTGGCTGAAGTACCGGCAACAGGCCAGCCTGTGCCAGCTGCTGGAACACGCACAGCTCTCGATGGCCAAACATGTTGCAATAATTCCGAGCAAAGCTTTGCAGTTCCTCGGGCGCAACGCCTGCGCATAAATGCAGCAGGCAGAGCAAGCGCAATGTGTTGAAACGCTGTCCGTCCGTTGTCAGCAATTCGTCGATCTCGGTGAGCAAACGTTTGCGTGACACATTATTGAGGATGTCCTCTTCAAGCGTTTGAAGCCGGCGGAAATTGCCCAGCATTTGTATGACTATCTCAGAGGCGTTCAGATGACGCAATACTTTGGCCTTCAGCTCCGTTAGCTTGGGCAGTTTACGTGCCACATAGTCGTGCATTTCCTCCAGCTGCATGTCGTTGAGCTTCTGCAACTCTAGCCCCAATGCCTTCACTTGGGCGCGCACCAGGCTGCTAGCTTGCGCAAAATGTTTGTATCGATTGTCGCCGTAGATCTCATCACAGGCGGAGTTGAGACGGATGCAACTGGGCTTGCCTTGATTGGTGGCATATTCAGTTTTTCCCTGGAGCAGGTGCAATTTTTGGGTGCGTATTTTGTTGTTGGCATTGTCGACGACAATTTCGCCGGCGCGCAGCTGGAACACCTCCAAAAGCAGGCCAGCATAAATGGCAGGCGTTAGCAATGTCGATACGTAGTCCTTATCTCTGTCCATTATTAGCCAGGCGCCAAAATCTGGTGGGTTGGGAGGCTGAGGAACTGTGCCCAGCGCCTGCAGCAAATGCATTAGTTGCGCCGAGTGATTGCCAAATGTGAGCGTCACAGCAGGTTGACCGCAAATCATTTGCAACAGACGCAAGCTTTGCGCCATCGCGGGCAACGCAGAACTGTTGCCTTGCAGATACAGGCACTCGTAGAGCTGGGCGGATGGGAATTGGAATTATTATTTGGTTGATAGTTAGTGGCTCTACTCACATTCGGTAGCTCTAGGCTAAGCACGCCTTGGTCCAAATATATAAAATCCCAATTGTAATGATGCAGCTGCACCAGACCACACAATCCCGCCTGCTCGAGCAGCGCATGGAAATAACCATAGCAGCTGGGCACGCAAATTATGTGATATGCACGCAATTCCAAGTCCGGTGACTCACTAGATATCTGCATCGCCAGTGGCTGCAGTTGCCGGAGCAGCGTTTGGTAGGTGCCCAGTAGACTACGAATCATATAAATGTGCACCTGGTCGTCGTCGCGGGGCAGACGTTGTTTCGCATCGTGCTTGTAAATGCGTTGGATTCCCTTCAACCTGTAGAAAGTGAGGTATTGACGACAGCTGCTTAGTGTTTCTTGCGGACATACTCACTTCAGCCAGGAAGCGGTGCATACGTGCTCCAGCGGCTTGATCAGTTCTGGCTCTAAGATGAGCTCTTTCTTGCCCGGTATGGAACATAATATAGCCTGCAACTGCAGCGACCACACAATAATCTATTTTTTCAGGTTTTTACTAATAAATTAATGGAACACAAACCTTTTCCTGCGCTACCAGTTGAAATCCTTGCAGTTTCTTCTCCAATGTAACATCCATTTGAGAGAATATGTCTGCGATACCTTTAGCACTTTCTGCTTATCGATAGTTGAATCGGACCGATAACAATTTGCGATAAGGCGTTAATTTGTTTAAAGAACGTTTATAAAATATAATTGACGGCTCTGTTTTTTTTTAAAGATTTTTATAACTTTCTGGCATAGCTGTCTTACCATATAAAAATTTTATACACGGAAGACATATGGTATTACCTTTTATTATAAGGTACTTGAATTGCTTAATTTTAGAAAATCATGAAATTACTTTTTCGCTAACCCTTTAAGCTTTGAAACTTTTCAAATATTTGTGAAAAGCTTGTAACAGAACTAAATAAAGAGCTTTAGAGTCAAGAATAAATTATAGCGCTAGGTCAGGTACTTGAAATCTTTCTAGTTTATCTTATCAACACACAGCTATAAAGTGCTTTCAAGTTGTTTGTAATGAATATACTCTATAAAATTGTCTATGTATTTAATAATGTACTTGAATTAGTAAAAATATAAAATTCAATTAGGAAACAAAAATATAAATATATAATATAATGTAATGATAAGTATTAGTATTTTTCAATATTATAACTATTGCTCATACAATTAAATATCTGCTTTGAAAAATGTATTCAGCTCAAGATACTCACTCATATTTATGCTGGAGCTTGGGTCACATTTCATATTTATTTTGTATATATTTTGTGTTTGGATATATGGAGACTCAGTGCAATTTCAAATTATATAGCAAAAATGCGATTAATTCATCATATGCAAGATATGGTGGACAAAGAAAGCTTTTGGCTGAATCGTTTAAATAGCCTTGTTTGCTATGCGGAAGTTCAGTCTCAGTTGATTCGTGGTTTCGTTCGCTTTGGATTCTTAATTGTTGGATAGTTACATTGCAAATTAAATGACATCTACAAACGAGAATATTGACGCCAATGCCGATGAGTTGGTAGCGCCCGGCTGGTTAAATGCGCAGTTCTTGGAGAAAGCGCTGAGTCAATATGAAAAGGCTCCCGAACTGAAAGTAATTAGTGTAAAACTTTCTCCCGCGAGTGCAAAGGGTGATCACTATGCAAGCGTTATGTTTCGGGGTAACGTAGCGTATACCACACAAAGCGGAGACCATTCCAAGTCCCTGATCATCAAGACAATGCCCGAAGCTGAGGGACACAAGAAGGAAATGCTTAAGGACTCCCCTCTTTTTAAGACCGAGATAGGCATGTATACCAAGGTGCTGCCCAGATTCGAGCAGATTCTCAAGGAGTCTGGCGATGACAGTCGACTTGGTGCGCTCTGTATCTATCACAGCTTAGAGCCACGCGAGGTAATGATTTTTGAGGATTTGGTACCGCAGGGCTATACTGTTATACGCGATCGCGAAGCAACGGTCGAGGAAATGAAGGGCGCATTTACGAAGCTCGCTAAATTGCATGCAGTTAGCTTTAAGACGTTAAAGGAGGTGAGTCAACCAGGCGTGCTGAAAAACAAATGATAATCATCTATGTATTTTACCCCAGACTCCTGATTTTCTGAAAGAGTTCCAATATGGCATTTGCGAAATGCCAAATATATTGAATGATCCGTTTATCACAACGGGTCTGACCAATTTCCTGGAACTGCTCGATTCTAAGCCAGAGTTTGCTAAGTACAGGTCGTATTTTAGGAATAAAGCGAACACCTATATGGATCTTTTCGTTGATATTATGGAGGAGTATCGAAGAAATAAACAACCCAATGGGTACTATGTACTATGCCACGGCGATTTTCATCTGCGTAACATGATGTTCAAGCACAATACATTGGATCAAAGCTTTGAGGATTGCATGTTGATCGATTACCAAATATGCAACATCTGTCCCATAACCATCGACTTGATCTATGCGACTTATATGCTGTTGTCGCCAGAGAATCGTCAGCACAATTTAGAGGAGTTAATTGGATTTTATTTCTCAACTTTTGCTCAAACCCTGAAACAAATTGGATACAAAGGAGAACTTCCGAATTTCGTGGAGTTTCAGAGGCAAATGACACGTCACAATTTCTACGGTATGTTTTGGTCTCAAAGTGAAAATTAAAATATTTTTAATAAATGAGTTTTTTCTATCGTTGCAGATTTGTTTCTCATATCCGCTTTTTTACCCCTAATGCATGGCGTTAGAGCAAACGTGGATATTAGTGAGGCTCTGCAACAAAATGATGTGCGCAAGAAGCTATTTGTCCAGGATACCTATATTGAAGATGTCAAGTTTTTGCTAGCCAAATTTGAAAAATTTGGCTATTTTGACTGATTTTGATGACATGTATAAACATTATATCTAGCCTATTGTCTAAATGTCATAAATAATGATTATAACATAATTAAAATTATTTGTTTCCTATCTTATCTTATAACCAAAAAATCTTGTAAAAAGAATAGAAAAAAAAATTTTTAAATAAGTTAAATTTACTTGAAAATACATCTTAAAAGTCAAGGTGTTATACGTTTGCTATTTGCTATGGGTATAGATTAGACTTAGTTTCTTATCATATCTATAAACTGGAAAGACTTATCTAGAATATCAAGATAAAATACGTTTGTAGCAAAAAGAGATTATGCTTTTTGCTTCTTACGTAAATCGTTTTAATGAATGGAATAATCTATGACTAAATTGAATTGAACACCTTGTGCTGAAATTAATAATATTCGATGACGAGTCACTCAGCAGCCAGACATACATGTATGTATTTAGAGATAAGAAGAAAACGCAATGAAAAGATTATTTTCAAATTGCATTTACAATATAAAAGATTAAGGGTATATTAATTGCTATACATATACATTATGCACCTGTATATGTCTAAAAATGCTTTAAGTCTCTTCAAAGTAGCCTAGGTGCAACATGCGCGGAAGCATTTCTTCCAGATCGTCCAGGTATTCCTTTTGAAAGTAGAGCTGACTAAGCTTCTGATCATCATCTACTATGTCCTCGGAGCCATTGCGAAAATGTTTAATTAAAGGCAGAAATGCAATAATTAGCAGAAAGTCTTGAAAAATAAAAAATAATAGGTTAATACTTTTGGCTTTCTAATAAGGATAGAATAATATTCATATACTCCTACCATGATCTCTTTTTTCAAACATTTGTCGCCGAAACTCAATCAAGTTGGGTAGCCTGTACTGGTAGCCGATCTGCTTTAGGGTATTCAAGAACGTTTGGAAATAGTTGTTAATCAATTCATCCGATCTCTCTCTACGTATCTCCACATCGAACAGCGCATACATAGCGTATATTATGTCGTTGGTCATATGTCCCACGTGGGTCATCTGGAAATCAATTAGCAAACACTCGACGCCTCTGAACATTATATTACGCAGATGAAAATCTCCATGGCAGAGCACATAGTAACCGTTTTCTTGGCGATTGTCGCGGTATTCGCGTAGAATGTTCACCCAGTTCTGGATGAGGTTTCCTTTCTTGTGCATTTGCTCAAAGTATTTTCGATAAGGTTTCAAGCTCTCCACATTGTCAAGCATATTTAAAAAGTGACCCAAGGCTTGCGTAATGTGCGCTTGCTTTAAAATGTTCGGGAGTGTGCTAATGTCATACTGCAGATGATCGAACAGCTTAGTTTGTTCCTTAAGCAACTTGAAGCTAACTGCGTGCCACTTGGCCAGCTTTGTTAGCGCTGCTTGGAGCTCCTCTGCATTGGCAAATCTTCGAACGATGGCGTAGCCCAGTGGTAACAGATCCTCAAACACCATAACTTGATGCGGCTTCAAGCTATGATAGATACAGGAAGCACCAAATGTGGTATCATCACCCACCTCTCGCAATATTTCCTCGAGCTTGGGCAGAACCTTGGTGTATACTTCAATCTCCGTCTTAAAGATGTGCGATTCGTCTAATAGCTCTTTCGCCGGACCCTCCTGTTCGGGCATTGTCTTGATTATCAGGGATATCCTTGATGCATTATTATTCTTTGTTGTTTCATATTCAACGACGGCGCGAAACATCGCACTCAAGCAATGATCTCCCTTGGCACAGGCTGGCAAGAAATTTACATCGACGACTTTCAATTCAGGTATCTTGAAATGCTCAGCCAAGATCTCTCTGAAGAAATGGTCGTTCAGCCACTGGGGCACATCCAACTCGTCCGAGTCGTAGCACTCGCTCTCGGTCGGCATTTCCCAAGCCTCTAGCAGCGCTTTTAAGTGCGAACTAAAACTGAAACTAAATATTTCTATTAAGAATGCTTTTCAGGGCTTTCAAACTAAATCATATTGTGTGCATGATTAGGCTAATTACAAATGCTCATGTAATCATATAACTCTTATCAGTTATTTAATTAATAAATGTTTGTCATACTGTGAACCCAAGTTATATAAATTAATTTTTATAATTAGTAAGTCCTATATTAAAACTGATAATAGTCCAATATGCACTTACAGATAACTGCAATATATAGATAACTGAAATATGTAGATAAGATCAAATTCTGAAACGAAAAAGGCCATTTCACAATTCTAACAACCTTTATTTATAAATAAGCTTAATATATTTTTTCTTTATAATGCTCAACACGTTTAAATATGCATAATTCAAGGTAAAAACAAACAATAGAAAAACAACAAATAGAATTCTGGTCATGTACATACACACATATATAGTATAATGATGCTCTCTGGGAGCAAAAACACAATTTGATTTGCCTAAAATAAGAGTTTTTTGTTACAAAGAAAATATAATTAATATGTGATTCATGCTTCCACTTTTTCACACTGTACAATTACATCAATTAATTTTCAAATGCCGTGTTTGACAATATTTCTTTAGCTTAACAATAAATTTACAATAGTTAATTTATATATATATTTTTATTTTTGTATCTACATAAGTACATATTTATTTTTATTAACTCGCTCTCCCCACAATGCTCTTATTCGGTAGGTAATTAATTACTTGTCTTTATCGATATGTGGTACAATACATCAAAACATGGGAGTTACATATGCAGATGTGTAAAACTCACACATACATATGATCAGTGGACTGAGTTTGCATGTGCACAAGCCTTACATTCACATGTCAAGTGACTCAAAGTATCCCAAATGCAACATTCGAGGCAGTAGAATCTTCAGATTATCTATGTATTCCTTTTGGCGGTATATCTGAATAGTCAATTGTTCATCCTCTACGATTTCTCCTGCATCGCCGCCTTGGCGCATATGCATAATTATAGGTTGAAAGGCAGTCAGCATGAGAAAGTCTAGGAAATTATACATAAATTCAATAACAATACAATACATCATAACGGATTTTTACGGATTTTTATTTCCGCAGAGCTTACCCAAAGAACGGTTCTTGAACATTTGCCGACGGAACTCTATCAAGCTGGGCAACTTATCCATATAGCCAATTTTTTGTAAGGTTTTCAAAAAGGTTTGGAAGTAGTAGTAGATGAGCTCATCCTTTTTATTTCGTTGCACCTCGCCGTCAAAAAGCATGTAAACGGCGTATGTGATATCATATATCATAGATCCCACATGGGACATCTGGAAATCCAATAGCATACAATCGAGTCCCTTAAACATCAGGTTACGCAGGTGGAAGTCTCCATGGCAAACAACATAGTACGTATCAGATTGGCGATTTTCACGATATTCTCTCACAGCACTCACATAACGTTGGTTTAGCTTTCCGCGCATCGGCTCGAAGTATTTTTGATAGGGTTTTAAGCTTTCTTCATCGCCCAGCATGTCTATAAAGTGATCCAAGGATTTGGTCATGAAGTCCTGTTCCATCATGTTTGGTATTGTTGTCAAGTCATATTTCAAATGATCAAATTGCTCTGGGTTCTCCTTGAGCAGTTTGAAGCTGACGGCGTGCCATTTGGCCAGCTTTGACAATGCTACCTGGAGCTCCTCAATGTTAGCATCTCTTCGTAAAACAGAGTATCCCTTAGGCAACAAATCCTCAAAGATCATAATCTGGCGGGGCTTTAATCTATGGTAGATGCAAGGGGTACAAAATGTGATGTCATCTCCAGCCTCGCGTAAAATCCTCTCAAACTTGGGCAGCACCTCAGTGTACATTGCGATCTCCGTCTTAAAAATGTGCGATTCGCTTAGCATATCTTTTTTTAAACCATCTGCTTCCGGCATTGTCTTGATGATAAGCGAGATTGTGGAAGAACCTGTACTCCCCGCCGTTTCATATTTAACAACAGCTCGGAACATCACACTGGCATAATGATCTCCTTTCGCACTGGCCGGAGTGAACTTGGCATCAATTATTTTGAGATCCGGGAGCTTGAGATGTTGATCCAGGACTTCTTTCATGAACTGCGGACCTAGCCATTCGGGAGTATCCAACTCATCCGAATTGTAGGACCCATTATTAGCTGACATCTCAGATGCTTTTCTGAAATCAAACTACGACCGAGTTAATTGCATTTTCATTTTTATACAACTTGTCTTGAAAGCTCTGTTGCTTTGTTTGCTTTATAATAATCGCTGCGTGGGCATGAGACAGTAATTTTTAGTTTATACCCTGAGCCTCTTTAACTTGAATAGGGTATAACGGTTTTGTGCAAATGTACGTAACGGTCAGAAGAACGCGTATCAGCCCCGATTTATGATATACATATATTCCGGATCACACTGATGTTATTATGCTCCATCTGTCTGCTCGTGTTAAAATAATCTTAGAGTGTACCTGTGTTGCTTATTCTTAGATTAATTTATGTAATTATATGACAGCTCGAAACCAGTTAGAGAGTACTACGTTGGTATAATTACGTTATCTTCAGTTACGATTGTACAATGTTAACTTTAGTAAATATTTTAGTAGTACCATAGATAATTTTGTTACCTTTCAAAAAGTCTAGCAAATGATTAAGTCTATCTGAATAGCCATGTGCAATTTTTTTTTTTCTTTTTTCACAATAAGCATAAATTTGCCTTCAGGTGCTTTTGAGCAGTTTGGAAAGCTTTCGATAGCATGAGACTTATTTATGTAGCTGAGAGAGCAATATTCAATTTAGTCTTGAACAACGTTTCATCAGTAAATGTTGATAGCAAAAATATGGATAGCGTGAATGCTGACGAGTTGGTAGCACCAGCTTGGCTTAATGCGCAGTTTATTGAGGAAGTACTTAAAAAACATGAATGCAGGCCAGAACTAAGAGTCTTGGATGTTCAAATGTCGCCGGCCAGTGCCAAGGGCGATCACTATGCAAGTATTATGTTTCGGGCCAATGTGTCGTATACTTGCACAGGTGGAAAGCAATCAAAGTCGCTGATCATCAAGACAATGCCCGATGAGGAGGGACATAAAAAGGAAATGCTGAGTGGTTCGCATCTCTTTGAAACAGAGATCGGTATGTACACAAAAGTCTTGCCTAGGTTCGAGCAGATTCTACGGGAGGCGGGTGATAATACTCGATTATGTGCGCCCTGTTTGTATTGCTCGTTGGAGCCGCGTCAAGTCATGATCTTTGAAGATCTAGTGCCTCTGGGCTATACGGTCATCAGAAAACGTGAAGCAACCACTGAGGAGCTGAATTTTGCTTTTTTGAAGCTGGCCAAGCTGCATGCGGTTAGCTTCCATGTACTGCACGAGGTAAATACTAGATGGAAATATCTAAAATACGTACATATATTAAATGCCACTTTTCATTTCATTTTCATACTTAAGCAACCCGAATACCTGCAAGAATTCAAAAACGGCCTCTTCGAAATACCAAATATGCGCCAAGATCCCTTTTGCATTACAGGCATGAAAAAGTTCCTTGATTTCCTGGAAGAATTCCCAGAGTTGAGAAAATATAAGCCGTACTTTGAAAAGATGGAAAATGATTACATTGATAGAGTGGAAATTGTAATGCAGGAGTATCGCAGGAATCGCAAGCCAAATGGATATTATGTTCTATGTCATGGCGACTTTCATTTGAAGAATATGATGTTCAAGCAGAGAGAAGATGGATCTTTGGAAGATGTTATGTTGCTGGACTACCAAGTCAGCAACATTTGCCCCATAACCATGGACCTGATATATGCCGTATATATGCTGATGGGCATTGAAGAGCGCCACAATAACTATAAGGAACTGCTCGACTATTATTTCGCCGAGTTTCTCGCAACATTGCAAAATATTGGTTATAAGGGCGACTTGCCCAATTCGGTGGAGTTCTGGCAGCAAATCTTTCAGCACAAGTGCTATGGTAAGCCCGGAATAGAAGATTCCTATTTATATTCATATATTCTTTACCTTGGAAAATTTCAGATATATATTTGATAACTACATTTTTGCCAATGATGAATGCCTTTAAGCATAATGACTTTGATCCCGCAGAAGTCTTTCAAAAGGAAGACCTACAAAGGGGAATGTATCGCTTAGATTCGTACGTTCAGGATGTTAAGTATTTGTTGGCCAGATTTGAAGCAGAAGGCTTCTTCCAGAACCAGTAAATTTAAGATTGTATTAATTAGACAATTGTATGCAAATTATTTTATACCAAATACATACATATGTATTGTAAGTAAATAAATTATTTGATTATGGACAATACTATTGGTATTGCTTTTCGGTATTGGTATAGAGATTAGAGTCAGAACGTGTATTGGCAACGGTATCACTATCACAATTGGTATTGGTATCAGTATCAGTATTAGTATGAGTATCGGTATAAGTATGACTCATACTATCAGTATTCCAATCAGTATGAGTAATAGTAAAAGTATCAGTATGAGTATCAGTAACAATAATACTTTTGATAGCAGTAAGAGTAGCAGTCTTATTATCATCATTGCATTATCGTAATGATCATTGCCATTGTCCTTAACATTAACAGTAGCATCAAAGGAATATTAACATCATTATAATAATTGTCATAGCTTGATTATTGTTATATATTAAATATTTAAAAATCTGACACACAACAGGAGCACTTCACTGCACTACGACTGACCTGTATCAGGTCAGACACGCGACTGATCGGCTCTGATGCAGGCTTGCCATTTCATGGACGAGAGAATTGCACTCAACGTAGACCCGAGCTTGCATGCCTTTCTGAGTTACTTTTTACATTAGCGATGTAGAGTAGTTTTTTTGTTTCATGAATTAAGGCGAAGATCTTAAGATATTATTATTAATGGTCTTCTTGTATTAATAATTATATATATATATATTTTTTCTCCATAAATTAAAAATAATTATTCTATTTATAAATACGAAATATTACAGAGTTTAATAAAATAGTTTTGTTTGCACTCATTCATATGCTACTCTTTGATAGGAAGAGAATAAAGCGAGGACAGATGAAGAGAGATTAGTGTAAGGAGACAGAAAACCAGCGAGATGTTGATAGACTGAAGTCAATGTGTATAAATATAATTTCAATGTAAAATATTCTTTATTTTCTCTCCGAAAAAGGCAACCAAATACTATCAAAATAAGTGTTCAATTTGTTGACATGCTAGATCAGATAATTTTAATTAGATTGCTAAAGCTTTTGAAAGCTTTTCAATGAAAATTCACTTAAATAGTGGAATTCTATGTGAAAGTGTTTCAGTATTTATTGCTCAGTTGGATTGCCAGCACAAATAGCAATATTATTAGCGCCTGGAATAATGTCGTCAGCAGATAAGGAGAATTTCAATGCCGATGAATTGGTTGCACCTGCGTGGTTGAACACCCAATTTCTCGAGCAAGTGCTGATTGAGTATGGAAAGACACCAGAGCTCAGAGTCGTAGATGTTAAGATATCCCCGGCAAGTGCCAAGGGCGATCACTATGCGAGCATTATGTTTCGGGCAAATGTCTCGTATACCACAAAGACGGGAGACCACTCCAAGTCGCTCATCATCAAGACAATGCCCGACCAGGAGGGGCACAAGAAAGATATGATCGGTAGCTCGAACATCTTTGTCACAGAGATCGGCATGTATACCAAAGCACTGCCTAAGTTTGAAGAAATGCTTCGGGAAGTCGGCGATAATACGAAGCTATTTGTTCCCTGCATCTATCACAGTTTGGAGCCGCGCCAGGTCATGATCTTTGAAGATTTAGTGCCTCAGGGTTATTCGGTCGTTCGAAGTCGTAATCCTACCGTCACTGAGCTGAAGATCGCGTTTCAGAAGCTAGCCAAATGGCACGCGTGCAGCTTCAAAGTGCTGAACGAGGTAAATAATTTTAATAATTATAATTAATTACAGCATGATATATGGGTATGGCACACACTCTTTCAGCAACCGGATTTTCTGCAAGAATTCAAATACGGCCTGTTTACCATGCATTCCGTTTTGGAAGATACTTATTTCAACTCTGGCATGGGCACATTCATTGAATTGCTTGAGGAAGTTCCCGAACTCCGAAAGTATGTACCCTATTTCAGTAAGATAAAAGCTGATTATGTGCAACAAATGCGAGCGATAATGCAAGAGTATTACGAAAGCCGAAAACCCAATGGGTATTACGTGCTTGGCCACTGCGACTTTCATGCTCGCAATATGATGTACAAGCACAACGAAGATGGCGGCGTGGAGGATGTTATGCTGCTGGACTTCCAAATTAGTAACATCTGTCCCATAACCACCGACATAATATATTCCGTCTATATGCTGATGGGCCCCGAAGAGCGACACAATAACTACAAAGAACTGCTCGACTATTATTTCGCCGAGTTTCTCGCAACATTGCAGAAAATTGGCTATAAAGGCGAATTGCCCAGTTTGGTGGAGTTTTGGAAGCTAATCTCCCAACACAAGATCTATGGTAGGCATTTATTGGAAATTCTATAGTTATGATATTTAAAACATTTTCATTGTACCACTTTTTTAGATTTCTTTCTGATATCAACTTTTCTGCCTATGATGGGTTGTCTTCAGCTAAAAGACTTTGATCCCGCTGAACTGATGCAAAGCGAAGAGGCACGCAAGCCCTTGTACCGCTTAGAAAGCTACATCAAAGATATTAAGTTCCTATTGGCCAGATATGAGGAGCACGGTTACTTTGAGTAAAGGCTATAAACAAAGCGTGAATTATGCATTTAAAGTTATAAAGGACTTAATAAAATAATGATATTATTTTCTTTTCAAATGTTAATTTTTGTTATATTTGATTTATATATATATAATATATATATTTGTGTTAGTTTTCAGGTAGTTCTGATTTTACGTACTGTATGTGTGGGTAGTAAATACATCTTGATATTATTAAATACTATTTTGTACACAATGTAGACTACTGGAAGCTCTGTTCACAATTGCTAATGTATTGAAGAGAGTGACGTATCCAAAAAACCGTTTAACTCAAACTCCTTGACTGTGCGTTGTAAGAACGCGCGATACTTGGGATTCTCAACGTTCTCGCGTCGGAAATTATCTCCAATCTCGGTGCGTGAATTCAAATCCTCCAGATTTTCAAATCCGCCATCTTCCCTGAATATTAGAGGTGTAAGACAAGTGGCAGCAATGACACCTATAGATGATAGACAAAGTACAAATATACCTCTTGCTTATTCCTTATATATTTTAAACTCACCAATCAGGCTATTATTAATTAGCTCAATGTGTATCTCTTTAAGTGTTGGAATGTGCCCGTCGTACTTGAGCTTCTCCAGTGTTTCCCGTAGTACACGTTGATATTCGTGTATTATATACTTGAAGTGCACCTTGCGCACATTCTCATTGAGAGAGCCATAGAGAAAATAGTTCAGATCGACAGCAGGGGATCCCACATAGGCCAGCTGGAAATCGACCTGCAAGACAATTCATATATTAAAATAGTGATTAAGCAAAACTAGTTGGGCATGAACCCAATTACTTATTTATAATAAGGAAAAAAAATATAGCTACCAAATATATTCCATTGGGTACCCAAAATCAGCTTATCTCTTTCCCAAGTCAAGGCACTTTTAATACGCACAGTGTATGATAAAAATTTAGTTAACTTACTGCAACAACATTATCGGGCTCCTTGGTTTCATTGTTGATATGAAACATAAGATTGTTGATCCATATATCCGCCATGTTGAACACTTTGAACCCCTTGTCTTGCTCATCGTACATGCGGACGGCGCTCTGGAGCACATTTTCGGCCAGCTTGAACATCTTCTCGGTGATCTCTTCGTAGCCCTTCCAGTGGGCGATTTCCTCAGCCACGCAGCGTATGTTCACCGGAAAGAAGCTGAGGAAATCGCGACGATCCGGATTGCGGGAAATGGGCGCCTCGTCGAAGAACTGCAATACCTCGGGACTCTGCTTGGCTATAACAGCGCTGCAGGCGTGCAACTTGGCCAGTTTCTCCACGCTGGGCAGCACGTAGTCCAGGTTGAGCAGTCGCCCCCGCTCAAAGTTCTCAAATCCACTCAGCTGCATATCCTCCAAGATGAGGAACGGCTCCGGAGTCTCGGTCGTGTAGTAGCAGGCGGGTGCTATTTGCGTCTTGTCGCCAATCGATTCGAGCAGCGCTTGCACGCGAGGCAACACTTCCTTATAGGTCAGTATTTCGCGCTTGAAGAGCTTGCTGCGCAGCGCGATGGCGCCCGTCTGGCCCTTCGGGTGGTCCTTGACGAAGACGGAGAACTTGCTCTTCACATTGCCACGCTGCATATTGAAGCAGGCGCGATGCATTTCGCTGGCAAAGCCCGCCACCACATCGCCCACCTGGGCGCTCTTCACCAGCAAATCGGTGACGGTGAGCGATTCCTCTTTAAAGTGCTCCTTCAGCACATCTTGCAGAAACTCCGCGGTGAGCCACTCCGGTGCCTGGTAGTTCTTCTTGCCGGTTCCCATTCTAATTCAATTTGAATTTTCTTATTTTTTCAAGTCACCTGACTGTTGTGGTCACAGAAAAAAAAAATACTTAATAAGCACCGAGCAGCTGAGCGCTAGCGGCTGTTGCGTTAAGCTGACAAATGCGGAGTGCGAACGAGAGCGAGAGCGAGAGCAAGCGTAAAGCTTCCCAGCTGACGGCAGCTCACGTGCCCGCGACGCTAGTCGAAAAGCTCTCTCTGTTGTTAGCTTTCGTTGGCATGGCATGGGTCTGGCTTATCAGCTGACGGCCAGTGGTGGGCGAATGAGAGCGTGGCGCATGTTGTGATAATGTGAGTGAGAGAACATCAGTGATAGTTCACTTCAAAATACCCTAACCCATTCATGACCTACTGAAATCTTTTAGGGCTGCTATATCAACAGCAAACAAATGTTATTGACATTACAGAGGTATGATAATATGATATGGTATGAATGACCATTTATGGGTGCAGAGCTCATTGAGGGGTAAGTTCTGCCTGACTGTAGGCAGGTCATGCATCGCTTGCAGATAGTAATAATCACTATGTAAAATATATAGCGAGCTATCAGACTACCGCTAACAGAAAGCAGATAACAAGCTTTATTTGTAGCTTTATCAGCCAGCGATTGTTTTTATATAACAAATTATATAAGAAATGTTAAATCTTGATAAATAAAATCTATCGTTCATGGGTAAAGCCCTTTAAGATTTTGTTTGCGAGTGCTCGAAGCCAGTTGCTTTTAAACTAAATAATTAAAAAGCTGAAATCATGATAAGGCAATAAGAAATATACCAGAAAACTGCAAGTCGACAATCAAATACTCTGCAAATTTTTAGTGAATTTCTAAAGGAATTATTTGTGAAATAAAATATGTAATATATTTTATTATCAATTGCAGAGAATTCGATGGTCGATTATTTCTTACCGGCATATTTGCCTATTGTTTTCTGTTTCTGCATTGTGCGAGATAAAATCTTCAACAGACTTTGCCGCAGCTAAACAAGAGATAAATCTCGCGAGATAGAGTCTATACATATACATATATATACATTTATTTACAGATAGTAGAAATTCGTCAAGACGTGGCTAAGTAAATAGAAATTGGAATAGACTAAAACTCTAAGAGGCCACGCCTCTGCAGAAACGGAAATATGCTCAAGGCGGCTCGCACATACAAGGGATTCGTGTAGACCTTGGTACGACAGCGATCGCCCTCCTCGCCCGGCAGCATTAGCTTGGGCAGACTTGCATCCTTGTCCACGGGCAGCAGAATGAGCGCCAGATGCATAAACGTCGTAAAGTAGCCTGGGAAGAAGATCAGTGCTCTAATTATTTCCGATCGCAGCTACATATTGTTACTCGCCAGCAAACTCACCCCAGAAGCCATGCCGAAGCATGCTCATGTGCAGCTCCTTGAGGAGGGGCAGTGGCTTGGCATAGTTGAGTAGCTTGAGGCACTGGATCAGATGCGTGTGATACATGCGAACGAAGCAGTCGAATTGCTTGATCCGCAGACTGTGATGCGCCGAGCAGATGATCAGCTCCCACAGATCTTGGGCGGGGCTGCCCCACTTGCAGCGCTGAAAGTCCACGAAACGTATCTCGTTGATGTCACCCGCCACTGTGGTGTTCAGCAATATGTTGCCGGACCAGAAGTCACCATGATTAAGCACTTGAAATTCTTGCGGATCGTTGTTTAAGCAATGCGCAGCCGATTGCACAAATTGATCCGCTGTGGGCTACACACAAATGCAGGGTATAAATGGAGCGAAGTGCGATTGCAAATGTACTCACCAGGCGGCTCGTGTAGAGCTCGGCATTAGCGAAGCCCCAGCTGGCCATGGCCGTCTTATAGCTCTGTATGCGTGCCTGATACGACTTGGATCTGTGATAGTTGGCTGGCAGATAGATACGGTGAAAATCCTCCGGATATGGACCGTTGCGCTGATGCCAGACCGCGCTGGCCGCATGGAACTCGGCCAGTTTCTCCAGCACGCGCTGCATCTGCTTCATATTGAAGCCCTTGAGTCGATTGATATTGCTGAACTTCTTCGTCTTCAGGTCCTCCAGTATCAGTGAGATGCGACCGTTCACATTCTCCATCCAGTGGCATTTGGGTGCGAATTTCACCGTGCGACCTTGTTCCTGGTAGAGCTGCTCCAGCTGTGGCAGGATGAGCTCATACGTCTGTTTCTCCTTGGGAAAGATGTTCAGAGTATTGACAAATCCGACGCCTTCTGCATCCGACAGCATGGTCTTCATAATATACGATTTCTGCTGGGTGAAGCCATCTATATATGTATAATAGATAAGTATATATGTATATGTACCTATATCGGATGCATAACGCAGTTATTAGGTCAGCGGCATTGTCTGTCTACCGTATTTACCTTAGGCTCACCTTTCATTTCGATGTCGATGATAATGCGCATTAGCAGCGAGGTGTAGCTCTCGCACTCGCCAGGTGGCGAGGCCGGTATTATCGAGAGATTCAATATTTTGCGAAAATCGCTTAGCTCACGTTTTAGCAACTTCTTAAAATAAGCCCCATTGATCCAGCTGGGTATTTGAATGCATGTGTGATTTGACTCGCAGAACTTGTTGCTGTTATCGGGCATTCTGACTGAGCAACTGAGAACAGATCCAATAACTCGCCTCGCCTCCTATTATATTGTTGTGTTCGCGCCGAACAGCGAGTCGCAACTGTTTGTGTTCTTATCAGGCATGATTTTTCAGGCCCCTGTTTCGGGTTCTTTAGCAGGTCTACGTAGTACGCATATTATGTTAGACTATCTGGTGTAGGTGTTCCAGTCCGATCCAAGGCAGGTGAGAATGCTCTCTCGGGAAATCTTATCAGGCATTGCTCACCGAACGGGTTCTCCTTGCTCACTTCGACCGGTTCGTCTAGTCTCATAAAAAACCTCAGCTAGAGTGCGCAAGAGAGTCAACACGAGAGACACCTTCTCACATGTATTACATTGTCAAACGAAGTATTTGTTTACTCGCCAATTCATCACTTATTGATGATCACATTATTATGTATATTCAATATATGAATGTATATGTACATATGTAAGTATATGTATGTACATATATTTCGCACCCATTCATTAACTTATCTCTCAATAGAACTGCTGTCTGCTAGACTGCACTTAACTAAATAGTTTTCTAGTATTACTAGCTTTTTGCCTGTTGCCATAAGCGTTTTACTATAGAACAATTAATAATATATATATATATATATATACGTATTCCTTTTTCTATAGTTTTCATTGCAAACATGCATTGCGTAACTAGTTCAAACTGCATTCAATTAACTCGCATTTTTCATTTGATCAATTATAGGCGAGGGCAGTCCCTAAAGTTCTTTATGTATGTACTAAGCATATTTCGTACTATGTATTTTTGAATCGAAACTCAGCTAAAATAAATCTATATTTCGGTAAAATTTTATAAACTAATAATAATAATAACCTTTGAATTTTTTGTATTTCCTATTAAGTAAAGTCACCCAATTTATTAAATCGCTTATTGGCATTCTTTCAGCTGGGTAATCATCAAAATTGAATAGTTCGCGATTATAGAAAAATTGGTATAGATCCTTCATCACATTACCATAAATGGGCTTGGAGGTAAGAGGCATATAAGGAGGTGTAGATTGCTATCCTCATCGCTGGGAAAGAGAAGCAGAGGCAAGTGATTGAAGACAGCAAAGAAGGCGGTACTTTACTTTGCTTTTAATATTGGCCGTTGACTTTGTACTACCACCAATTAACAGTTTATTTAATTTATACATTTTAATTCCAGCAGTTGTGAGTAATATTGGGATTTTATAGTGTTCATCTAGAATTCCTTTAAAATATTGTTCAGTGATCCATTCAGGATTGATCAAATATTTATTTGGATTTACTATTTCATTTATAAGCGGCATTCAGACAGCAGCGCAGCTAAATCGCAGTGAGCTTGGGCAGCTACTGGGACCGTGTTTTGCACAAGTTTTACACAACTTTTACACGCAGAAGTTGTTTTCTACACTAGCTGAAAAGCTCGAAACTCAAAAGCTTCGCACTTTGAAAAGAGCAAATTACCTATTATCATGTTTCTCCGCCATTTACTCTTAATTTTATTTACATTGGCTCTCATCAAGCTCCGTTTTTAGGCTTAATTCACTTTGCTTTCTTAGTATATTTATACTAAAAACGTAATCATAGGAAAGACGTCATAGTTCGACTATCATATCTACTCATTTCCTGCATGCGATCTTTTCACTGAAGATTATGATCAGACAACAAGTACTTAAAGATAGGCGAAATTACTGTCAATAATATGGGTTGTTTATTGACGGTTATTGCGTTTTATAATCATCAAAATTGAACAATCCGCGATGGTAGAAAAATGGATACAAGTCCTTCATTACATCACCATAAGTAGGATTGGAGGTAAGACGTAGTCGCAATTTTTCACCCTCTTCGGTGTCGCCCATCACGTTGTGTAGATTGGTGTCCTTGTCACTGGGAAACATAATTATAGGCAGGTGATTGAAGATAGCGAAGAAGGCTACGACAAAGAAAAGAAATAAATTTTATTGAAACCGCCTTCAAAAAACTCATTTTAGCTTTACCATAGAAAGAGTTCTGCTTCTTATAGAGGGAGGTATGCAGATTCCTTAACTTGGGCAATGGCTTTTGATACTTCAAAAGCTTTAGGCACTCTACTAATCGCTCCCAGTAGATGTAGATGAAACTATCGAACTCCCTGATACGTATATCCTTGGCAGCGGATAGTGTAATGAAAAATAAAAGATCTATTGCCGGATCTCCCCATTTGCAGGCTTGGAAATCAACCAGAATCAGTTGATCCAATGTTCCATCTGGCAAATAGTTGCACATAAAATTACTTGACCAGAAATCACCGTGGGTTAAAGTATTAAAATCCAGAGGATCAATGTCCAGGGAGCTGACGGACATGGCCCAATAATCGTCAAGAGACGGCTGTATATTTAAAATAGATTATTTATAATTTCAATATAAATAATCTAGGTACTTACGAAGTTTTTAATATATTTTTCGGCATCCTTCATGCCCCATGTCTCCATAGACTTTTTAAAGGATTCCCCTCTCAGTTTAAAGCCATGCTTTACGAACATTTCACTTTTAAGTGAAACAAATCCCTCCTGAAACTCAGTAGGAAAGGCACCGTTTTGTTCTTCATAAACAGCGCTGGCTGCATGGAACTCGGCCAGCTTACGTAGGGCTCTCGTCATGTGAGCCATGTCTAGGCCATTCAAGCGATCCACATTCTGGAATTTCCTGATACTAAGATCTTCAAATATAAAATTAATCAAACTTCCACGCTGCTCTGTTTGCAGACATTTGGGCGCTATTTGGATTTCCTCGCCGGCTGCCTTATAGAGTGCCTCGAAGGCGGGCAGATACTTCTTGTACATTGCCAGTTCCTTGGGAAACAGACCCCATGCATCAATATCAGCTCCGCCCTTTTCGTTGGGCAGCATGGTCTTGAAGACATAGGTTTTTGTCTTTGTGCTGCCATCTACCAAATTTGGGAATTTCACAACTTTGAAGTTCACACTAAGCTTTTGCGTGTCTTACCTTTCATTTCTAGGTCAATGTAAATGCGCAGCATTATGGAGGTGAAGTTTTCGCCAGGTGGTATGGCTGCCACAGGTGTAAATTTTAGTACTTTTACATGGTCCGGTTCGTCCTTATCGAGCACTGTCTTGAAATAGCTTTCAGTGATCCATTCGGGTATGCTCAAATGCTCATTTGGATTAACTATTCCGTTTGACTGCGACATCTTGACACGAATTCGCACACACCTGTTTCCCAAAAGGTTTCGTTGCGTACTGAGCGCGTGTGCTCACGAAGCTTACGACGGAATGTTGAATGTTGATAAATTCGTTTTTGATACTCTATGAACGGGTATTGAGAGTTGGCTAGCAAGTTTGAGACTTCAAGAAGCGCGTGTACTCTTCAAGGCCCATTTACAGCTATTTATATCTATAAACAAATTATTAAATATTTTTGCATACTGCCTGCTACTTTATTTTTATTTTCCAGATAGTTTTAGTTCATTGAGATGCTTAATTAATAAAAAATAGCTGAGCTGCCTTATGTCCATAAGAGCATTTGAGTTTCAGTGTGAGAAATATTGTTATCAGTTCTCATTTTATTGTACATACATTTTATAGATTATACAAATGTTATTTTCTTATATATTTTTTTAGTTATCTGCTGCTGATCTAAATAACTTCAGTGCATTATATAATATCTACTTTTATTTCAACAAGTTGCTGTATCAGTATGAGTAGTTGAATTTTTACAACTTTTAATCCTCGTCATGCTTCATTCATGAAATTTTTGTTTGATTTAGTTTTGTATTGTGCGCAACTACAAAGAATCATCATGATTCAATATAGTTACTCTCAATTAATATTGACGGCAAACTCTAATCAAGTTGATAGGCAAATCAATTGATATTTGATTTCGGTTTATTAGTAGCTCTATATGAATGAAACTGATTTGTTTGATATCATTGATAATATTGCCTATCGTAATATCGACATTTTACACAGACCTGCGCCTTGTTGACAAATAAACAAAAAGATAATAAATAGTTACAAATTACTGATTTATGGATGAGATTAAGACAAGATAATGTTTGTTACCTGCAATATCTTTAGGTAGTCGATTACAGGTAACAAGTTTCTTCTCAGCCCACTAATATCGATTGCCTTAGACAAGTCTTTTCATGTTTTCAGGTCGTCTATCCCAGAACGATTTTTCTAAATGAATGAATGAAGCCAGAAATAGGAAGTCAAAACGAAAAGACGCGATTTTTATCTTTACGATCTCTAATCTTTGCACGAGTAGGCTTGAGGTAATTATAAAATAATTAGGATAAGTATAGTCCGTGATTATGTTTGATTAGCTTATAATATAGTTGATTATTTTACAAATCTTGACTCGGGTTTCGGACAAAGCTGACTACTATGTTTATGCTTAAGCCACACCACAAAAAATGCGACGTAATAGATTTTGCTTAAAGTATTATTTATAGAATAAATTATTCAACTCATTTGTACAAAGCGACGCGTGTCGAGTTATAAGTTCAACAATTGACGTCATAAGTTAAATAATCAAACAACACTTGCGAAAATACCCTATAGAGTCTCGCGAGGTAATCAAACTCAATTGAAGGCAATGATCGGTCGAGCATGAATGACTTGATTTTCATTGTTAGCCGAAATATAAATAAAAATATCAATATATATTTGTAGCTTTTGTTTACAATTGAAAAATAACAAAATCATATAACTCTTTACTATTTTGCTAAATATTTCTTTCCATTGGGAAGTAAAATTTGAATACAATTGATAGTACTTAAATTTAATGAAAGAGTGCCAAGCAAATTATTAAAGCTCTGTACGAAAGGGTATTTAAGCTTCGATTATGTAGTACATCAGTTAAATTTAAATTAGTCATTGATCTTTTTACCAGTCATGGTTAGACTTGATTTGATAAAAACACGCATATGCTGATAAATTTTACTATAGAATGACTATCAAAATTATCGACAGGAAAAGGCTTTATTTCGGTTTTAGATAATATACTAACAGTATCACCTGCATATGTAAAGTGGTAAAAACAAATCACACATTATTATATAATGATTATTCTAGAGCAATCCTTTATGGGCGAAGAAAGGATACAACTGCAGCATAGCCCTGACGTAATAGGGATTGATGAAGGTCTTGTAGCGGAAAGCATCACCTTCAGGTCCCGGCGTCATCATCATGTCAATGCTTGAATCCTTATCGGAGGGCAGGATTATGGCAACCAAAACGCCATTCGCTGTGACTGGGCCTGACAATAAATATAAGATGTTAATAACTTGCTTGATGGACCTCGATTACTCGGCCAACTTACCCCATTTGCCGTATTTTAACATCATAATATGTAATTCTGTCAGCGTGGGAATATGCTTTGAGTACTTCAGCAACTGCAGGCATTCCACCAAACGTTCGTGATAGATGCTGATGAAGTGATCGAACTCCTTGACCTTGATGTCAAGTGCTGCCGACGTTGTTATCAAGTACCAGAGATCCTGAGCCGGAGAGCCCCACTTGCCCACTTGCAAGTCCACAAAGAGAGTGCGCTCCTCGGCTCCGTTCTCGGCGAACATAATGTTATTGCACCACAGGTCTCCGTGATTGAGGCAATTGAACTCGTCCTCGTCCACCTTATTCAGCTTAAGTGCGTCCTCAAACATTTCGCTTGGAGAAGGCATATTTGCAATATATTTCTCTACATCCGGTAGCTGCCATTCCCTCATGGCCTTTACATATTGTTTCATGCGCATTTCTCCCAATTGCTCGAAAATGGGACGATTCTTTTCATGATAGAATGATGTGTAGTACATCTCGGAGAAGGGTCCGTTCTGCTCCCGTTTAACCGCCGAGGCTGCGTGCAGCTCTGCCAATTTACGCAACACCCGCTTCATATGGGGCATATCCAAGCCCTTGAGGCGGTCTACATTGTAGAAGTTCTGGCGTTTTAGGTCCTCCAGGACAAGGGTTGTACGCTCCGGAGTCTCTTCTACGAGCAAGCACTTGGGTGCCAATTCAATGTCGACACCCGCTTCCTTGTAGAGTTTTAGGTAACTAGGTATGTGCGTCTGGTACATGTCAGTCTCCTTGGGAAACAAGTTCATCTCATTGACTAGAGCGCCCCCCTTACTAGCGTCCAGCATTGTCTTCAGTATGTACGACACTCTCTGCTCAGTGCCATCTGTGAAAGAGATCTTAATTGCTTTGGCTGACAGTGGCGAAAGTTAGCTGACCAACCTTTGAGCTCGATGTCTACAATGACACGCACCATAATGGATGTATAGTTTTCACCTGGCTGTGTTGCGGCGATCGGCGTAAAGTTTTTGATGCTGGCAAAGTCTGGCACATCTTGCTCGACGATGGGTCGAAAATAATCCTCATTGATCCATTTCGGGATGACAAGGAACTCATTGGGATTAACGGGTTCAGCTAAATCGGAATTGGGTGACATTTTCTAAGAGAGGTAGAGAGAGAGAGAGAGAGAGTAAAAATGTGAATGCCGAACCCGTATATCAGCCTAATTAATTTGAATATTTTAAGAGATTAATGATTGTTTAGGTTACATCACATTAGATATTATTCGCAGAAATAAAAGGTCAAAGATCACATTTCTTTTTTAGTTTGTTTCAATATGAAGTGTGTTCAATTAGCAATGTTCTTGAACATTGATCGATCTTCCAGAATGCACAAGTTAATTATATTTCTCACGATCTATATGTATGTAATAATTGCCTGTAACATACGGCACTTAAGCTTTGTAGACGTAATAATAAACTCAAACGAAGAGCAAACAGCAACGAGGGTCCGGCGTATTCGAACACAAAACAACTACTGATTGCTCGTCGCCGAACATCGTAGTCAGCTAGCCGGAATAGTCGTACCGCTTGTGTATCGGGGTCTGGCTTAGCCTGTTCAGAGTCTGTTTATAGAGCAAACCGGTTGCGTGTGAAAATGTTTCTACGAATATTTGATTCTACGTAGAAACAGAATAGTATGTCGCTGTATTCCTAGCAGAAAATTGATAGTACTACATTAACTCTGCTTAACTGATAGTACTAAATATATTTATGTATATATGGAATCGCTATAACTGTTTTAAATTTCAGCAAAGTAGGTGATGTGTGGGTGGACTTAAGCTCAGAGTCGTCGCGGGGCTTATTGTGGGTCCATTCACTCCGCTTTATCAATTTGTCGCGTGTGAAGCTCTCTGTGGTTGCTGCGAATGAGGGTCACTAAAATTAGAGTATATTAATATATAAAGAGACAAATGGGTATGCGTCGGTTTTCTGTTTTGATGTAATCAAAATTAACTTGTAGTCAATAATAATATGAATAAAGGTGCTTAAGACTAAGAGTTTTGTGTATATATAAAATATATTTATACATATATTTATACATTTTCCATCAGCATAAAAATTAACCTTATACATTATCAGTGCATCCAAAATTACAAATGGGTATCCCGAAGTCGAAGTCCCAACATTGCAAAATTAAATCGCGCTGTGACTAAACAGTCCCAATGTGTTTTAGCATTATATACATCTGGGTATACTATTTCCGAATACGTTAATTATTTGCTTGCAGCTTGATAAGAAAGATCTGGGTGTAATTATTCAATAAAGTGAAGGTCATAATTATTATCATTTAATTGTTATAGCTAGCCAAGTCAGCGCAAAGGTTATAAATCTATTTAATTGTGCATTCTTATTTATATTTTATGTAAATTATATAGAAATGCTTGATAAACAAGGCTATTTTTAATTTGATATTTTACATAATAATATGTTAGGTTGATATGTATGTTTAACTATTTTAATCCAATCATAGACGAATGTCTGTAGTTTGTAAGCATAAGCCCTGTCTATTTAGTGTTTATAGATAATAGTTTCTAAGTTTTGTCTTTTAATAAGGTAGTGTACATATACTATTTAAAATCTCAAGTATGTGAACGAGTTACATATATATAAAAAATACAGATTCCATTTGATGTATATCTGCAATTATAGATTAGCTAATAGTCGTGTACCTATACGAAACGGTGCATCCTTATTTAATTGAGATTCTCATTGAGTAACATAATACTTACGTGTCGAAATTCGTAATGACAGATGAGAACAGCAAATAAATTGTTGTTTATTAAAAACAAATAAGAAATCTCTAGTCGAGACTGCTCGACTATGAAATACCCTGAACACTACGAGGAAGTGATACATATATCAATAATTCTTCGCATTTTGCTGTTCACATAAGAAACACATACAGGCGCACACGCATAAACGCGAATGGGCTGCAGGGTGTGATTAGTACAAATTTAAGGGCCAGGGGGTGGATATAGGGGTGGTGGGTGAATAATAATAATACAAACCGAAATTCTATAAAGTATATACATATAAATTTACAAAGCTGCAGTTAAGGCAACTGCCTGACAAAAGCTGAATGCTACGAAGCTCGATGGAAGGTGCATTATTAAAACTTGTGGAAATATTGATCAGAAAAAAAGCATAGCCCTATCAGTGCGTCTGAAACTGTGGGCCAACTCTTCTAGTGAATATGACAACATATGAAACTTGAAACTTGAATAAAGGCAGCTACATGACAAAAGCTGAATGCTACAAGATTCGATGTAAGGTACATGAATGCCAAAGACTGAATAATATTATTATTATTCATTATTGTTTTATTATTCACATGTATATAAATGCTCTTAGTTTAGATCCTCTAGATCTCTTATGGCAGAAGCTAAATACACTGAGACTGCATGACGGAAGCTGAATGATATGACACTCGATGGATGGTACATCTATGAAACTTGTGGACATATTGATCAGACTTTGCTCGCTAAATAAAAGGCATAGCCTTATGAATCATTAAGAAACTGTGCTCAACTCTTCTAGTCAATGTTACTACAAAAAAATTTTGAAACTTGAATTAGGGCAGCTGCCTGACAAAAGCTGAATGCTACGACACTCGATGGAAGGTGCATGATATAATATAATTTGATATGATCATAATTTGCTCGTTCAGAAAAGCATAGCCCAATGTATGACTCTTAAACTGTGGGCCCACCACTGATATAGTTAGTGATATGACAAAAACTAACTTAAAACTTGAGTTAGGGCATCTACATGACAAAAGCTGAATGCTACAAGACTCGATGTAAGGTACATCAGCACCAAAGAAAATGTATCCTCGTCGCTCACGAAATATAAATGTAATAATATGATTCACAGAAATAGAAATGCTCTTAATTTAGGTCTGGTAGAAGCTAAATTCAATGAGACTGCATGACAGAAGCTGAATGATATGACACTCGACGGCTGGTATATTTATTAAACTTTCAGATCGTGATTATAATATTGAAATACATGAATCTGCGAAAACACAAGTTTTTAGTATTTGAAATACGCCTTTTACAATCGTCGTTTAGGGTATATCATATGAAATCAACTGATATTCCGCAAATATACCATGAGAAGCTGAAAGCTAGTTGATTTTTTCTAAGAGTATAATAAATATCATTTTAATCAAAATCCTTAATTATAATTATTATACGAACCATTTGGGGGTCGATCATCATGCCATTAAGAATACAAATAATTTAAATATAAACAAGATAATTATTCGAAAACGTGGTTTTCTGCCATGAGTGTACAAAAACTCGAAACTAATTTTTAGTAAATTGACTTTTGGCACAGTGTCTCTTCCATTATTTTTCTCAACATGTTTTTATTTCGTATAATAATAAACCATTTTGTAGCATGGCATGATCAAACAAATTATTTTGTGTATTATAATAACACGTATTTTGATGGTAATTACTTCCAGTCGAGCAGACCGCGATTATCCAACCATGGCAGAACTTCGGTCATTACCTGAACATATTTCGGATTGGTGTACATGGCGACCTTCACCTTGGCATCGTCATCCTCCAAATTGGGGTGCTCGTTCTTGTCCAGCATTACCACTGGTAGGACCTTAGAGACGACCAAATAGGCTAGCAATTGCAGAAGACATACTTATATAGAGCTCAGAGAGATAGTTTACTAGGTATACTCACCCGCCAATCCATTGCGAAAGAGGGCGGCATGTAAATTCTTCAGCTTCGGCAAAGGGCGATGATATTGCAAGAGCTTCAGATTGTCCACCAATTGATCGTAATAGTAGCGCACAAAGTAGTCAAATTGTTTGGTCTTAATGTTGGGTGCTGCCGAGGATAGTATCAGATAATACAGATCATTTGCCGGTGAGCCGTATTTGCAGACTTGAAAGTCAACAAATAGCGTTTCCTTGATCTTGCCAAAGGCATCGTACAGAAACATAATATTGTAGTTCCAGCAATCGCCATGGTTAAGCACATTGAACTCCCGCGTGGATACCTGTTGATCCTGCAGCAGGCGATCTACCAAATACTCATCGCTATCGGCCTAAGAATAATATTTATAATATAATATATAATTATTATTAAACAGAAAGTGAATATATATTCATATGTGACTTACCAATTTGTCATAGATTTTCTGGCAATTTTTCCATTTCTTGAGCTGCGCTAGGAAGACGCCTGATGCATTGAACTCCTGCAGCAACTGGCGATTGGCTTCGCTGAAGACGCCCACCGCGAAGTCTTCCCCGAATAAGCCATTGTGCTCCACATAGCAGGCGGAAGCGGCATGGAAGGCAGCCAATTTGGCCAGCACCTGCAGCATGTGCTCCTGATCCAGACCAGCCAAACGATTGGCATTCTTAAAAGAGTTCGGCTTCAAGTCCTCCAGCAGCACATAGTCCACGCCGAAGTCCTGATCGAGCTTATAGGCCTTGGGGGCAAATCTAATCTTCTTGCCTGCTTCGGCGTACAGCTTCTCGAATTGCGGCAGAAAGTTGTGATACATTTGCTCTTCCTTTTGGAAGAGCCGCAGCTTGCTGAGTATGGCGGCCATTACTTCGTTGTTGGGCTGAACCTTTAGCACAAAGGACACGCTCTTGCTGCTGTGATCTGCACTGGTTGATCAACGATTACAGTTTTTAGTCACACAAAGTCAGGAGTCGGACTCAGCTTACCCAGCAGCTCGACTTCCACCAGCAGGCGCACCATCAGCGTGGAGTAGTTGTCCCCGGCATTGGCCGGTTGTGGCGTTACCGATCGTATCTTCTCAAAGTCCCCGATCTGAGCGCGCACAGCATTCTGCAGCGAGATTCTGGGCAGCCAAGGTGGCAAATTGGCATCCGACGCCTCGGCGTGTCCATTTGCTTGCGTGGTCTCCGACATTATGGGTGCTATAAATGTTTAATCAATGTCAAGTTTAATGAAATCAATTGATCAATCGCGTGCCATATATAAGTGACTGACTGGATTTCTAGATAAGCATTACAAATGTGATATGGTGCCGATAATCTAGCCAAATCAGAGCTCGAAAGTGTACTGAATCTATATAGACCGCTTGTGACTTTGTAGAATGGTTTTGCTTCATCGGCAGGTCCAAAGAACCTGCTCTTTAACAACGTTATAGGTCATAATTGGAGGCATGCAGACGCGTCCATATGCAATTCAGACAATATCTTTTGCTCTAACCCACCCAGTTGTCTTTAATATTTTATGATAGGGAATGATGGTGATGATGATAATGATTTAACGTAATTACGTATGCAAATATAGGTCTTATGATTTTATATTTGCACACCCCGTCGAATCATTTATATATATTTTTTATAGTGTATTCTTCGCTTTGATGTTGATAATATTTTTCCGACGAACCCGGTGAACTAAAGGGCTCTCAAGCATTGCAATCATCGGGACTCCCTACCAAACGGTAAGTGTAATAAATTAATAACAGTAATTTCTACTGTTGCATTATTGAACCTTTACAATTTCTCAAATGTCTTATCTATAATGCCAAGCGATAATAATAGCAAAATTTGCCGATTAAAAGAAATTAAAAGGAAAACTCTTGATACAATGGAATATATATATTCGGGTATATACATATACATATGTATGTGTCTTTAAAAATTCTACACTTTTATTTGAAACATTGAGCTTTGGCTTTCACACGCTAATATTAATAGTTGAATGTATTTCTGCATTGATTGGATCATTATCAAACCCAATGCCTACTTTTATCGTAGGTAATTCGTAAGTCTTATCACAGATCAAATATATTTTTGTATGTAAAAGTCTCTTCTCGGAACACTGTTACCCGTTTGGCTTTGTAATAAAAAGTCTTTAATGACACTCTGTCGTACTAGATTTTATAGATTTGCGCTTTCATTTAATACAATTTAAATTGAGTTTTTCTTTAGTACGAATTTCTACTCGACTTCTCTACTGTGTCTGGCACATCGAAGAACTGGTTCAGATGCTCGCACACACAATATCAATTCAGTCGATGGAGAGATACGCACAACAAACCTTTTTCCTTAATTAACGGCGAATGATGAATTGTTCGCACAATTGAATGCAGTTCGGTCAACCGTTGATTTCAAATGAGGTCCGGGCGTTAGGCGTAAGACTCTGCTTGGCCCGATTTGGAATTGGCCGAGAAATTCGTTATCGCATCGGTGTTCAATTAGTGTTGATTTTGTAAATTGTTATTCGCCAAACCCGGCGTAAAGAGCGTCAAAGCACACACTTTCGTTGAATATGATTTCTTAATAAACAGTTGATATGGGGCGTCGCCAATTGTTCTGTTGATAAGGCAGGTAAAGCGGGTCTCGGCATTTCCACTATCATTGCTCTTTTGCTTCGTGCTCTAATTATTGGGTGATTCTTTATTAATTGCTTCTGCTCGTGTCGTGCACTGTGATTCACTTGGACATGTGATAGACAACAATCTACGTACTTATAGGGGTAAATAGTATACATACATACATTTATATAAATAAAAACATATGTAGAGTATCTCTATCTTGAATTTTGAGTGGGTAGTACAGCCTTTTTCTGACGCTTGCAATTCTGTTTAGGTAATGCCAAAAAAGGAAAAGCAAGATTTTCTGTATGGCGAACCCGATTTCTATTTATCTTCTTTGTATAATTTGTGAATGCATAAGTAGTAAATTGTTAATTAATATATAAATATATGTGCCATGGAAGCTTTATGTACATAAACATTCCGAAAGCTTTATATATCTAAACTAAACTGAATCAACTCACCCATTCTCTTTTCCATACACATTTCTTTGCTTGTTAGCAAAGTTTAATGGTCTATATATCAATTTTGATTCTGTGAAATTGTTTCGTCTAACGTATATTACAAACATCATACATCAATTATATCAAAAGTCTACAGTCTTCAGGGTATTAGAACTGTAGAGCACCGAGATGCAGATACGTTTCTTATATCAGGCACTCGTAATCATTTGTGCTTTTAGACCATCCCTATTCGCTGTGCCCGTAAGAAATCCTTTAAATTACCATCCTCCGTGCGATCGAGCAAGATCGATTATATAAACGTGATAGCCTAAAGAGAGACAGAAAGAGAAAAATGCTAGCAACGGATAGATAGCGAGCACAGAGTCGAAATCTTTCTTTCTATTTGAGTAAAGTTAGGTGCTGCTGCTGAAGTAGTCAAAATTACTTAACTTCAGCACCGATTGCGTAGAGAAGAGCAGAGAGATTATGAGAAATGGTGTTGTGCGGCATTTAGAAGTCCACCAGATCGGCATGGTTTAAGCTAAGCTCTTCAAGTTTAACCTGAATATTGTGCTGGAAAGGTTAGTCAATTTATATACAGTATTCATGTTCCAAATTAGATACATATACATACATACGAAAATTCGGGACGTGCTTCTTAAGAACACCTTCGAATAGTTCTTGCTTGAGCCAGGTGAGAACCAAAATACTTGGTTCTGCAGTCATGTCCAGTTAGACCTTCAAATGAATTGCACCATAAAATTGCATTGCTACGAGTCGAATTGCTTCTAACATTGCTTTTACAATCTAATCTTTGACCATAACTATATAGCTATATAGTTAAATGTATTTGCCAATAATATCTGCGGCGGCCCTACTGCAATCGTAGGCCATGCAAAAGCTTTTTAAAGCTTCCACAATGTGTACAACTGAGAGTCGGCAAATATCTGTTGTGATTTGTTGTCATGCTCAAAAGCTTTTCTATCAAAAACTCGGTCTCTCTCTCTCTCTCTCTCTCTCTTTCTGTCTCTTAACCTAGACATTGATGTTTGTTATACAAATACAATCACACAAAAGTAAAGCTTTTCGTGCGGTTTTGCTGACATAGTCACAAAATGCATATGAAAGGCAATGCAATAAATTAAGTAAACAGAATTCAGAGAGCGGAATATTGCTGAAGAGCTTTCAAATGCGTGTAATGGATGATCACATATGTACATACATACATACATACATATGTTTGTATCACAGATTATATTATTTAGCAGATCATATTTGTAAATAGAAGTATAAATTGTAAAATTATTTTAAAATAAACTGAAAGCTGCACCAGTGCAAAGCAAAATCAATTCGAGTTGAAACATATATTTTTTCTGTACAACAATCAGATATATGAAATACATATGTATGTATATGCCTCTTCGTCTAAATAATAACAGCTAACTTAAAACAGTAACAGCCTAATCAGTTATCATTTAGAATATATTTATTAAACGACTAAATATACATATATTGTTATATACTTTTAGTAGATCCTACAGAGCAATTGAAATTTCTTCTAACGCATAGCTCTCAGATACTTTGTTCCCAGTTACTGGCATATTACATACGTAAATGTATAAAACTGAATTTTTGTATGCTGGCCTAATACTTTGATTCTCGTTGAATTTGCTGAGTTGATTTTTTGCATTTATTTATTATCAATAAACAATTTTGTTCTACAGAGATATATACTTTAGATAGATATATCATAGGTTAGTGAAAATTACATAAAATATACAGCAATTTTTTAGCTTTACATATACACTTCACAACATGAAACATTATCATCGTGGGATACCACTATCAAGTCAATAATACTTGAATTAATCAAATGCTGATAAGGTACTGCACAGTTCAAGATAATTCCTTGGCATTGGATTCACAAGTGTCTTACGCTTACAGCTCTAGTGCACCACGATTAAATAGCCAGGGCATTACTACTTGGATATGCTTGCGATAGCGTGCATTGGAATAGAGCAAGTTCTTGAAGTCTTGAGCCTCAGGTGAATCACTGGCAAAGTGTTCTGCCTTGGCTGATTCAGTGGGATCAAGCAGAATGCCACTCATAACAGATATTGCTGTATAGAATCCTACATATAGAGTACAGTTAATTTAGTTAGGGAGAACTTAGTAATTCAAAGTAGTAATACAAACCCCAAAGTCCATGTTTGAAGAGCGATATGTGTAAGTCACATAAGGTGGGCAGGGCTTTCGGGTACTTGAGTAGTTTAAGATTTTCTAAAAGATTTTCATGATAGAACTTCACATAGTAATCGAACTTAGTCAGCTTGTCCTCGAATTTAGTCGAGGACAGGAGGAAGTAATACAAATCCTGTGCCACTGTGCCGAATTTGGGTAGTTGAAAATCTATTAGATATGTGTCCTTGATTTTGCCAAAGGAATCGTGGGAGTACATAATATTATTGCTCCAAAAGTCACCATGATTTAGTGCATTGAATTCGTTGGGATCGGGCTTGGACCTTTTAAAAATCTCTTCTGTGGCCTTGGGCTGCAGAGCTCGCTAGATGAGAAAACAAATCAAAGGTAGTGAGAAATTTTTGAATGTGACAGACGTAGACATTACCACTTGCTCCAAATATTCTTCATGGCCGTCGTAAGTGACACAGCAGTTGAGGAAATTCGCAGTCATTTGCTTGTTCATCTCGCACATCATCATTTTGTTCTCCTCTTTATAGAAGCCCATTAGAATTTGATCCGCATAGGCGCCTTTGGTGGCCGCACGCACTGCGGATGCGGCATGCCACATTGCTAGTTTTTTCAGCGCAGCCTCCGTATGTACCTGATCCAGGCCCTCCAAGCGATTGCTGTTCTTAAATCCTCGAGGCGACAGATCCTCAAGCAATATATACTCAGTTGTGGCACCCTTCACCGTATAGGCCTGAGCACCGAACTTGATATCCACTCCAGCATCTCGATACAGTTGCTCCATTTCGGGCACATAGATGTTGTACATATTGCGCTCTACATCAAACATATTATGCTGCCGCATCAACATCTTAAACAGTTCCGACTCATGCGGCACCTTCAGCATGTACGATACAGGCTTTTCCGTGCCATCTGAAAGACACATAGACATAAATATGAAACACTTATGATTGACTCCAACATGATCGCTTACCCTCCAACTCAACATCTATGCTCACGCGCAACATGACTGTCGAATAGTTCTCGCCAGCTCCAACTCCACTGCTGACCTTGAAGTTCTTTATTCTCGAAAATCCTTTGACAGAGCTCTTTAGGAGATCCACAAATACATCTGGTTGCACCCAGTCGGGAACTGTGCTGTTCGTAGTATTGGGCTTAGCGTCACCGGACATTTTATTATTACTATTTATTTACTCAAGCAAAAAAAAAAAACAATTAGAATGGTGCCTGTATCACGGCTTCTGCGGCTATGCTTCTGATGCTCTCCAACGAGCTTCTAATATTGCAAAAGCTTTTTTGCTGCCTTTATAGATAGACAGCTTTCAGATCTTTCTGTCAAAGTTTTGTATTCGTAGTGCGCTCTTTTGTAAACAATAATTGCGCTCTCTTCTCATTAGAGAAGCAATCGCAGTTTAAGGTTTGGCTCTTAAATATCAAAGTCGAATTTTTACGCTGAGCCCATTCAAAAAAGAATACTGTGCAAAATGTTTTTGTTTTATATTTAAAATTTTTTGAGAAGGAAATAAAGTTTAGCAATTAAATTATGAACAAACGATTAGAAAAGAATACATTGTAAATTTCACATTTAAGTACAATACGTCTTACAGACAGAGCATTGACTAGAATCCCTGAAGTGCACCACGATTAAGCAACCAGGGCAACACGGCTTGAATATGTTTGAGATACCGTGGATTTGTATAAAGCAGGTTCTTGAAGTCGGCGCCCTCCGTAGAGTCGCTGAGAAAGTTTTCAAAACTGGCTGTATCCGTAGAGTCCACTAGAACGGTGCTCATTGCTCCAGTGGCGGTCAGGTAACCTAGAAAATAGTGAATAAATTGATTAGGAGAGGAAATAATCTATATATAATTGCTATCAACTCACCCCAGAAGCCGTACTTGTAGATCGTTATGTGCAGCTCACGTAGTAGAGGCATGCTTTTAGGATACTTTAATATGCTCAGATTTTCGAGTAGATTGTCGTAATAGAACTTGATGTTACTGTCAAATTTGGTAAGCTTATCCTCGAACTTGGCCGAGGATATCAGGAAATAGACCAGATCCTGTGCGACACTGCCCCACTTTGGAACTTGGAAATCTACCAACATAAGGTCCTTGATTTTGCCCAAGGAGTCGTAAGAGAACATCATATTGTTACTCCAAAAGTCACCATGGTTTAAGACATTCAGGAAGTTCGGGTCGACTTCAGCCATTCTGAATATTACTTCAGTTATTTTGGGTACCAACTCAATCTGATAGATTATCAAAAATTTACTTATGAGGAGCAGGCAACTAATAGTAAATTCATTTCCTTACTATTTTGTCTATGTACTCCTCGTTGTTTTCGTACTTCCTGCACGCTTTAAGAAAATTTTGTGCAAGATTTGTATTGACGTCAGTTAGGATGGGAAGCAGTTCTTTCTTGTAGTAGGAACGCACTATGTAATCGGGATAGTCACCCTTGGTAGCTACACGTACCATGGATGCGGCATGCCACATCGCCAGCCTCCTGAGGGCACACTTAACGTGTACCTGATCCAGGCCCTCAATGCGATTGGTATTCCTGAAGCCCTTGGGTGCCAGATCCTCAAGCAGTACATAATCGGACTTGACTCCCTTCAGCTCATATGCTTTGGCACCGAACTTCACTTCTATACCAGCGTCCCGATAGATTTGCTCCAGCTCAGGCACAATCGTCTTGTACATGTCGAGCTCATTTATAAAGATGTTGTTAATCTCCATAAACTTCTGAAAGATCTCCATCTGATGCGGTACCTTGAGCATGTACGATGCTAGTTTCTCCTTTCCGTCTGCAAAGCGTTCACGGAATAATGTTTTAAACTAAATAAATCGAAAAACTAACATACCCTCCAATTCGACAGTGATATGCAGTCGAAACATTATGGTCGTATAGTTTTCTCCTGCTGCCGACCCGCTGATGGCTTTGAAGCTCTTAATTTTGGAAAAGCCTTGCACCGTCTCCTTCAGCACATCCTCAAATAGCTCGGCCTGCACCCAGTCAGGTACATTATTGGCTGTAGGTTCGGGTTTTGGAGCTGTGGACATTCCAACTAGATGATTGATTTTATAAAACAAATTACAGTGGGCTTGCACCGCTGTGACTGCAGTTAACAGCGCGTTTCTAATATTCCAATAGTTGTATGCAGCGTTTATTTATACTGCCTTTCGCCTCTCGCTCAAATGCTCAAAAAATACTATCTGAGCAGAGTGCAACTACTACTAATAAAGCAAATAAAAGTGCAGATGTCGAGAGTTCCCGACTAGCAAATACCTACAACGGGACAGGAGAATATATATTTGATTTTAATACCTGTAAACAGATTTGTCGTTGGTGGGTATAGGCCTTTCTACCGACTCAGCTCGTTGTCCTGATCGACTGAATTTTCACGTGATGGCTCTACCGACCATTTTCATAATTCATGTTTCATCCAATTGCACAAATCTGTTATACCTTGAGTTTTAGATTCCCAACGAGTTCCGGGTATAAAAACAACAAAATGCAAATACTAAAGCTTTTCTACAGTCTCTGAGAATATTTATTTATTTAAGAGAACATTCGATGTTTGAGTGCTTTCTTGGAACTCTCTGTCGATGCATTTGGCGCTGGAATATTAGTAGACGGTTCATTGACCCCGTTTAGCTATGGTTATTAGTGCGCCTATTGTGAATGGTGCTCGAGACTGATTACGTTTACTATCATGCCCAACTTACATGAACTTTAATTGCTTTTCAGTGTCAATTAAAATGCTTATACATCTTTGATCAGACCAAGAGAAAATATAAGATGTAGGGCTTGCAAGCTTAACTACTGAGTTGTTGCTAAATTGCAGTTTCATGTTATTAATACTAAATAATATCTCTGTTTGGAAAGTAACCAATGTACGATGAAGTTTTTATATAAAATTAATAAATCTCTTAAATTGTTTTGGAAAAATATATAGCATTAGCATCGTATGAAGGATGGTGATCCAAAGCGATCGCACCTCATTATCCACAACAAATAGTTACTTCAACTAATATTAGCTAGACAAATTTTATATCTGGTTATACGCAAGCATATAAATATATGAAAATATATGAAAGGAGAAGTTTGTTAGGCACTTTATTGTTAAGGGAACTATGAATACTATATGCTTCAGATGGGTAATTGAAAAATTTAATTTCAGGTAAATTTTTTGGATTATTTCAAATCACGTTGGTTTGAGATTATATAAATATATGTCGAATTACTCTTAGAAGGACAGCTTTGTTCTTTAATATATTTATACTATGTAAGGTGAGTAAAAATAAATTCAAAGAAATCATACAGCAACAAAAATCTAATATGTATGAAGCCCATATATCTAACGGGATAAGGGTATAACAGTTATTGTTATTGAAAGATAAAACCTTAACGTTTGTGTTGTTTCATTTTCATTTGATGCTTCTCTTCGACAAGCTTTTAGATGAGCTTTTAAGTAAAATGTGAGGCATCTAATTATAGAATATTCTCTTGCAATTTGCATCGTTGATTGATTTAGGAATTCCAATGAAAACCAGTTTTTCTAACCCAACACAGAACAAAATTTATTATCTTTTGTGCAAATTTCTTATCAGAACACAATAAATTCATTGTTCACAATGATACAGCTATTATTATAATTAAAAGTTGTGACGCATCGGGACTGATAATACCGATAAATACTAATCAAAAATGTGTATTTTTGTTTGCTTTGATAGTTTTTATCAAGTACATGTGATAAGAGGTCTTTTAAAATCCTTGTAGCGCGCCACGATTGTGCAACCAAGGTAGAATTTCCTGGATATGTTTGCGGTAGCGAGCATTGTTATAGAGCAGAGTCTTAAAATCATTGCCCTCTGTGCTGTCACTGAGAAAGTTGTCCAGGCTAGCCGTATCCGTGGGGTCGACCAAAACAGCGCTCATCACACCTGTGGCGGTTAGGTAACCTACGAAATGAATAATAAAACAATTTATTGTCATAGTAAAGGCTAAATTATGAACCATCATTAAATACTCACCCCAGAAACCGTACTTGAAGAGTGTTATATGCAAGTCACGCAGTGTGGGCACATTCTTGGAATACTTCAGCGTCTTCAGATTCTCCAGTAGATTATCGTGATAGAACTTGATGTAGTGATCGAATTTTGTGAGCTTGTCCTCTAACTTGGTTGAGGAAATAAGGAAATAGTACAGATCTTGCGCAACGCATCCCCATTTAGGTAACTGGAAATCCACTAAGCATATGTCTTTAATCTTGCCAAAGGAATCATGCGAGAACATCATATTGTTACTCCAGAAGTCTCCATGGTTTAGCACATTCAAATGCTGCGAATCGACTTTAACCAATTTGTATATTTCATCAGTTACTTTGGGCAGCAGCTCTATCTAAATAATATCTATTAATATAATTAAGTATGTCAATATAATTCACTTACTATTTGGTCTATATACTCCTCGTTTCCCTCGTATTGCTTACAAGCCTTAAGAAAGTTTTCGGAAAGGCTTTTATTCATCGCATCCATAGTTGGACGTAGTTCCTCCTTGTAGAAGCCCCGGGATATGCTATCTGGATAGTCACCCTTGGTGGCCACACGTACCATGGATGCGGCATGCCACATCGAGAGTCTTTTGAGGGCGCATTCAGTGTGTGCTTGATCCAGACCTTCTGTGCGATTGGTGTTCTTGAAGCCTTTAGGTGCCAGATCTTCGAGCAGTATATAATCGGTCTTGACGCCCTTTAGCTCGTAAGCCTTAGCACCAAACTTCACTTCCACACCAACATCCCGATAGATTTGCTCCAATTCGGGCACAATCGTCTTGTACATGATGAACTCCGTTTCAAAAATGTTGTTCGCCTCCATCATATGCTTATACATATCTGACTGATGTGGCAGCTTTAGCATAAACGATATTGACTTCTCTTTACCATCTAAAATAGTGTCACATATTGAGCATTTAGATAAATAGATGGGAGTGCCTACATACCCTCCAGCTCGACATCTATGTTCACACGCAACATGATCGTCGCATAGTTTTCACCTGCTGCTGAGCCGCTGTTGGCCTTGAAGTTCTTGATTTTGGAGAAACCTTGGACTGTTTCTTTCAGCACATCTACAAACAGTTCGGCCTGCACCCAGTCGGGCACATTGCTGGTGGGGGGATCGGGCTTTGATTCACTCGACATTCCAATGATATAATTGAGATAATCAAATCAATTCAACGCTCGTTGCGTAGCTGTGTTTCGTGTAGTCAACTGCGCGCTTCTAATAATCCAATAGTTTCTGCGCAGCGTTTATTTATACGGCCGCTCGCCTCCGAATGTAAGCCTCAACTGCTCAATATGAACCAAATAATGTGAAGAGCGCAACAAGTAATGTTAGAGAAATATAACAACAAAATTCACAAACCAAAGCTTTTTGACTCTCTGAAAACATGAGCTTGTGAAATACATTGAATGAAGTTGCTTAGAACTTACGGAGAGCTTTCATGTAGACTGATTGTTTTCTTGCAACTATCTAATACTTCTCTTGGCTCTGTATTCGTATTCCCACTTTTCCCATGATTAGCTGTAATCATAACAGATTTAAGATAATCTTAATATTCTTATTGTGGTACAATATTTTAGTAGTAAGTCAATGGAGTAATAGCTAAATACTTGTCTGAGAGTAAAATTACTGTCGTATAAATTATAATTACTACTATACGCCCATTTCACCATTACGCTGAGCGATGTTTGCTTAACTTTAATTAGTTTTCAAAGTAAGCTCGATTAGCTATGATTGTGAAACAACAATTACGTTGAAGTTATCAAACTAAGTTATCAAACTATTATTATTTGAGAACTGACAGGCTTAAATCAATACACCGCAGCAAATCAAGATAAGATAGGAATTCAAAGTGTCTACATATCATTTACTATTCTTCCTTATTGCAAGAAGAAATGTTTTTTTTTTTTTTTTTTATTTTATTTTATTTTATTTTTTTTTTAACTCTAGTTTTTATTTAATAAACTGTACATGTAACTAGTCTTTTATTTACCAATCCTTGAAAGTATGAAATCAATGCATCTCTTTGTGGTAATTTTTCAAATTTTTTCTAGCCCAATTTTGTCATCATCAACTGGGACAATTTGAATGCGATTTCATCCAATTTAATATATACTGATTAATTGTAAACGCTTTTGAAATTATTATAAAAATAAAATATGAAAATAAATCTGTTGTTTATATATTTTGCAGAGCACCGCGATTACATAGCCAAGGCAGAACTAGCTTCAAATGCTCTTTGAAGCTGTTGTTTGAGTAAAGCAATGTTCTGAAAGCATCACCCTCTGGGGTGTCGGAGAATAAGTTATCAAAACTGGCTGTTTCAGTGGCTTCCAATGCAGAGCCTGCCATCACACCACACACCGCGAAATACCCTGTAAATTAAAGGAAAAAAATGAAAGTACTTCGTTTTTTTAGTTATTCTTACACTCACCCCAAATACCGTTCTTGAAGAGGGATTTATGTATGTCTATTAAACTAGGCAATCTTTTTCTGTAATTCAATAGCTTCAGATGCTTTATCAGCTGGTCGTAATACTGTTTGACGAAGTGTTCAAATTTGTTTATTCTTATCTCCAGCTTCGGTGACGATAACAGAAAATAAATCAAGTCAAATGCAACACTTCCATATTTGCACATTTGATAGTCAACCAGATAGGAATCCAAAAGCTTTCCCGTCTGCTTTTCATAGAGAAACATTATGTTGCTCAGCCAGCAATCAGAGTGGTTTAATACATTGAACTCTTCTGGATCCACGACTGCCGCTTGGAGAATTTTTCGGGTTATGCTACCGGCCAAGCTTTTTATATCCTCAGAGCACGCCTCTAGCCCCTCCATTGTTGATAGAGTTCTTAATATATAGGGTACCATGCCATCAGTCATTTTGTTCAGCAAGTGCTTGCCATCCTCATTACAAAGACCGTCACTTATATGACTGGGGTAGATTCCCTTTGCTTCCACCCGAACAGCCGAAGCGGCATGCCATTGCGCCAGCTTTGTGAGAACCGACAGAATATGTTCTTCGTCAACTCCAGCTTTGCGATCAACTGATTGGAATCCCCTAGGTCGTAGATCCTCTAGCAGCACATATTCATTCGGTGTATCGAGCTTAAAACACTTCGCCCCAAACTCAACCTCTAAGCCAACATCGCAATAGAGCTGCTTGAACTCTTCCACATATATCATGAACATGTCCCGTTCGATGTCGAACACGCTGAACTTTTTCTTCCCCCAGGTTTCTTGGTAGGCCGCTGAAACGTGCGGGAGTTTCATCATGTAGGACACAGTTTGGCTTGTGCTATCTGCATGTATCGCAAGTATATGAATTGAATAATTTATAATGCTCTATGCTGACTAACCTTTTAGTTGCACTTCGAGTGTTATGCGTAGCATAAGTGTGGCATAGTTTTCACCGGGTTTGGTGCCAGGCATCGCCTTGAATGATCGGATATTTTGAAAATCTTTCAATGTATCCCGAAGTAAGGGTACAAAAAGATCGGCTTTTACCCATTCGGGCACGTCGACTTTTGATTCATTTGTTGTTTGACAGATGGACATTGTTCACAGTATTCAATAACCAATTGTAATCCGATGCAATCAGTGTAAATTCTGTGGGAGAACTGCAGCTGTTAGCTTAGTTTCCTGCTTATATACAATTCATTTTAAAAGAGCTTAAAGCTCATCAAGCGTTTGGATTGATATAACGGATTCTGCTTATCATAAAAAATTTGTTTGATTAAAGCAATTGTTACAATTGTAATGAGAATAACGCACCGGTTGAACAGCAAGAGCTTCTACAAAAGTAGAATTTGGATGAACAATCAGTAGAGTTCTGAACGTTGGATATTTGAAGGTCAATTGTTGTTTACACAAATCAACACGAATGCACGTGCAAATATGTGCATGGCAATACAACTAACAACGTTTATTGTGCGCCTCGCTGACAGAGACTAAGAATTTATACTGCTACATAAAAATCATATCTGGTACATCTTAATGAATATGTATAATCAATTCAACAAATAAATTTAAGCATATAAAAACATCTACAGAAATAAATAAACAATGCAAATACAAATATTTATTCATATTTATAATATATCTGCAAGTTGGTGCTCTTTGCTTGAATCAATGTAATCGCATTTCTTTGGTAAAATTCTAAAAATAAATCCTTTATACCGAATGAAAATGGTTTATATTGTCTCGTTTTGAAGAGCACCGCGATTGTGCAGCCAGGGCAGTACAATCCTTAAGTGCTCTTTGTAGGTCTTGCCGTTGTACAGAAGAGTTCTGAATGCGTCGGCCTCTGGCGAATCGGAAAATAAGTTATCAAAGCTGGCTGATTCAGTCTCTTCCAGCAAACTTGCAGCCATCACATCGCACACCGCCATATATCCTATATATATACAAATAACAGACCACATGAAAGTAGGTAATTAAACCATATTCGGCATACGAAAACTTACCCCATATTCCGTTCTTCAACAGGGATTTATGTATGTCTATCAGACTCGGAAGTTTTTTATTGTAGCTCAACAACTTCAGGTGCTTTATCAGCTGATCGTAATACTGTTTGATGAAGTAATCGAATTTGTTTACTTTGATTTCCAGTTTAGTGGATGATAACAGAAAAGAAATCAAGTCAATGGCGACGCTTCCATATTTACATATTTGATAGTCAACTAGATAAGAGTCTAACAGCTTTCCCGATTCTCTATCATAACGAAACATGATGTTACTAAGCCAGCAATCAGAGTGGTTTAAGACATTGAACTCTTCTGGATCTATGACGCCCACTTGTAGAATTTTGTCTGTAATGTGACCGGCCAAGCCTTTGATATCCTCATAGTACGCCTCATGTCCCTCAATTGTCGTAAGGGTATCCAGTATGTATGGGACCATATTATCTGTCAATTTGCTTATCAACTGTTTACCATCATCATTGAACATACCATCACTTATATGGCTAGGATAGGCACCTTTCCTATCCACTCGAACAGCAGAAGCGGCATGCCACTGAGCCAGCTTAGTTAGCACTGATATAGTATGCTCCTCATCGATTCCTGCCTTACGTATAACTGACTGGAATCCCCTAGGTCGTAGATCCTCTAGCAGTACATGTTCATTGGGTGTATCGAGTCTATAGCACTTGGCCCCAAACTCAACCTCTAAGCCAACATCGCGATAGAGCTGCTTGAACTCCTCCACATATATCATGAACATGTCCCGTTCGATGTCGAACACGCTGAACTTGTTCTTTCCACAAGTTGAAAGATATTCCTCAGAGGTTAGTGGTACTTTTAGCATGTACGAAACGTATTTTACTGTGCTATCTTTAAAGATTATGTATTTACATTTTCTTTTAGAGCCTTGCATCTGAAATATAAATCTTAGCTGTAAATCATACTGACCTTTAAGTTGTACTTCAAGTTCTATGCGTAGCACAACCGTTGCATAATTATCACCGGGTTTGGTGCCAGGCATCGCCTTAAATGATCGTATATTTCGAAAGTCTTTCAATGTATCCTTCAGCAACTGCTCAAAAAGTTCCGCCTTCACCCATTCAGGTACTTCGACTTTTGTATCATTTGTTGTGGTCGTTTGGCTGCCCGACGACATTTTTCAAGATTTTCAAACAAAGACTAATCAGTAGTCGTCAGAGTGACTTCTGTGGAAGAACTGAAACTAATAGAGCCGTTTTATAGCATATGAGAGAGCTTAAAGCTCTCACAGTTAAAATGCAATGTAAGTACTTAAACAAACAATACAAATTCTATTATTATATTTACTCTTGACCTATAAATTTACTAAAGAAAAATAAAGGAATTTGTCTGTTAACTATGAATAAACCAGTTTATTTGTGCTAAAAATGCAGGTATACTGCATGTCGTTTATTTGATATAATTTAATTTCTATTTTACAGTTTACTAATAAAGAATATTTTTACTTTGAATTGAGCTTTACCTTAGTTAACATAGCCTCTTTGAATAAGCCAAGGTAATATAAGCTTGATTTGCTTCACAAAGCTGGGATTCGTGAACATTTTACGCTTAAAGTCCAAAGCTTTCTCGGAGTCGCCCATGAAATTCGTAACGTTGGAGTCGGGACTGGGGGGAAACAGCGTTACGGGCAGCATTCGTTGAGCGCATACAAATGCTAAAATTAAATGGAATGGAATGGGACAAAATATGAGAATAAAATAATGATGAACTCATCTAATTGTTTCATATAACTCTATCCTTTTTGGTAAAATGTACAGACCCCAGAGACTGTGCCGTCGTAGATTCTCATGTAATTCCGTCAATGTAGGCATTCTGTTGGCATACTTGAATAGCTTCAGATGCGCAATGAGCTCTTCATGATAATACTCTATGAAATCATCGAACTTCTCCAGTTTAATGTGTATATTAGGTGTTGTCATCAACAAACAGAACAAGTCATGAGCCGGTGTACCATATTTCGGCAATTGAAAATCCACAAAGCAAATATCCTTGATCTCGCCAGCATTCAGTTGAAAGAGAAAATTATTGCACCAGAAATCTCCATGATTAAGCACATTAAACTCGGATTTATTCACACGACCAAAATCCAAATACAGGTCAGTCAGGCGATCCGTGTAATTGGTCTGAAATAATTAGCAATGAATATATTATATACTGAACTGATCCTTAAATTCCTTTAAGAAAACAATAAATATATTAATAATTGTTGATAAGAGAACATTATCTATCTAATATATATTTGACAAATTGGTACATCTTTTTTACTCACTATCAACTGCTGTTGACCAGGCTCTAGTTCGTAATACTGCTGCATGCACTCCAAAAAGGGCACATTAAATGTTATATTCGATTGCTCGATCCATTTCAAGCACTCCTCTGACATATAGCTTTTCTGATAGGTTTCTTCATAGTCGCCCAGCTCGACGACTCTCTGAGCGGAGGCTGCATGCCACTGAGCTAATTTCTTAAGCACGGCCTTGATTTCCGTTTGGCCCAAGCCTATCATACGCTCCAGATTTATGTAGCCCTGCGAACGCAAGTCTTCCATCAATATATAGTCGCAGTTGGGCGGGTTTTCGATGAACTTCAGATGAGCGGGCTTGAATCTCACAGAGAGCTCTGTATGCTTGGCATACAGCTGCTCGAGCTCGGGCACCAAACGCTCGTACATATCAGCCTCAGCGATAAACAAATCATGAAAGTCGTGCTCATCGCCACAATCATTGACCAATGGAATTTTAAGTATGTAACTCTCGGCTTTGCTGCTGTCATCTGGTGGTAAATATATTGTACGTATGTATGTTTGTGATGAGTGCTTGCCATCTTTATGTATGTATGTATGTATGTGACGCTGACCCACCTCTCAGTCGCATCTCAATGCTGATTCTCAGCACAATCGTCAAGTAGTTTTCCCCTCCACTGATCGCCGAAGTGCACTCAAATTTTTGTATTGTCTCAAAATCTGCGTAATTCTGTTTCAGTAAATCACTGAAAAGCTGTTGGTTTACCCATTCCGGTGCAGTTACAGTCGACATTTGTTATTTCGATATGTGGATCGCTCTGATGCGATTGTGTATAATACTGTCAAAGCTTAAATTGCAACTGAGCGAAAGCTCTTTTGTTCAGCGTTTAATAGAGACTACATCTGATAAAAGCTCTGAAGAGATCGAACTTCTGCTCACAAATATTTCTCAGCTCAATGGAAAAAATACCTACATGAAACTATTCTGCACCTTTTTCAAAAATATATGTATGTATATGTAATGAATGATGCTTAGTCTTATCGCTTCATTATCTTTATATGACATGAATATAAACATGTACCACCAAGACATTATATTTATTATTTTTAATTTATTCTTATCTTATATACATCTTTGAAGCATCTCCCAATCTTATTCATCAAAAGGCTTGCCTTCTTTTGATAATATAAACATTCAATGCTCGCTTTGGTAATTAGTTTCTTTGGCTTTTTTTTTGCTTAACGCTTAACGCTATGCATGTAGACATGTCGCCTCAGTTTATCTGGCCTGGCGAAGTCTTTGGCACAGAACGTGCACTGATAGGGTCGTTCGCCTGTATGTTTGCGTCGATGGACTTTCAGTTCATAGTGCACGGTGAAGGACATGTCGCAGAGATCGCATTTGAAGGGTTTTTCGCCATTGTGTCGACGCATATGTATGTTCAGCTTGTTGGGCGTCAATGACTCCAGACCGCACAATGAGCAAAGATATTTCTTGCCCAGATTCTTTTTGGCGACATGCATATCGCGTATGTGCTTGTCCAGGCTAGGTTGTACAACAAAGGACCGCCAGCAGTGTGGGCATTGATACCTAAAACGTCTGCTTCGCTTGGTCGTAACAGGTGTCTGACTAGATGACTTGGAATGTTGAGTCGACATGTGCAGTTCTAGGTTTTCGTGCCACATGAATTTGTAGCCACAGCGTGAGCATTTGAATTTCTTTTCCTGGTTAAGGCATTGCGTTCGCAAATGATGCTCCAGCATAGTCTGTACAATGAATAATGAATATTCATATTAAAACATATTTTCCTTTTTACTTTGGAGATCATTAAATTACCTTATCTACAGTCTTGAAAATACAATGCTCGCAGGAAAAGGGCAACTTGTCAAAGGTGTGCAGAGAATACTGGTGCTCGCTCATGTCGCGCCGTCGCTGAAAGTTCATGTCGCACAGAGCACAGCGATAAGTTCTGCCAGAACCTACAGCCTCATCGTCACTCTCATCTGTTTCATCCAGAAGCAGCTCAAAGCCCTCTTCGGTGCTTATCATATAGTTGTGCGCCTCTTCAGTGTGGGCCTGCATCGAGATGTGTCGTCGCAGATCGCCAATCGTAATGAAATGAATGTCGCATAGTTTGCATAAGATGGATTTTGGTCCGGGAGTCTTGGCAGCATCCGCTAGTAGTGTCTCTGCCAAGGGAAGATCCTCACCTCTAAACCCATGCCTCTGTACATGCTTGTGCAAAAGTGCGGGTCGATAGAAAGTGCGTGTGCACCAGCGACAGGGTAGCAACTCATTGCTGCCATCGTGGTGCATTAGTTTGTGCTTGGTCACGGCGCTCTTATCCTGAAAGCTGCGTGAGCACTGATCGCAAGGATATGTCTCCTGCTGCAAGATTAAAGATGCAGACCAAGGTTAACCAACATATTACTATATTGTAATTTAGACCTACCTTGTTTTTGTGATCGACAAGATGAGCCCGCAAATTGCGCCGCCAGAAAAATCGCTGCGGACATTTGTCGCACATGAACCGTTTGAGCGTGTTCTGACACAGTTTTAGAGTATGATGATCGAGTAATTGAGCGCTCAGGAAACGTGCATCGCAACGCTGACAGACATGAGGTGCCTCGAGCCAGGTATGCTCCTGCCGATGGTGTTCGTGCAATTGATATTTGCGTGGGAAGACGGTCTCGGGTGTTTTACATAGCTCACATGAATAACTGTGTCTCTCCACAACATCCGCCTCACCATCGCTGTCCGTATCGGAGCTGTCCAGGTTCATCTCATATCGCGCCTCATTCGTTATGGAGTAATAGCGGCCGTACATGCCCACTTTGAGATCATTGAAAATTCGTCGTTTTAAGCCAGAAGCTGTGGACTCAACGGCGGTCTTATAAAAGCCCTCTGCAATCCGTTCAATAGGCTCGCCATGAGCCTCGAATTCAAAGTCCTTAGGATGGGATTTTAAATGGTCACGCAACTCACGAAGTTTGATAAATCTACGCAGACAGATCATGCATTGAATTTCCTTTGATCCATTCGGCTTGCACCGATTTAAATCGAAACCTTTAACGCGACGATCGATGCGTGAGGGCTTTGACATGGCTGATGTGTCCGTTGCGTATCTCGTTGAGGTGGCTTCATCTTCATCATCATCAGAATCCTTATACGCCTTGTGCTCGTTGTGCTTGTGCTTGATGAGACTAACAATGTACTTGTAGGACTTCTCGCATTGATCACATTTGTAGTAATTATCTGCACTAGAGCTATCTGCATCATCCTCATCCGGAATGCTAAGTAAAGTGTCATTACGTGAATGTGTATATATATATGTGTACAGTATTCATTTAATTACGTGATCTCCTTAATGATGCTATGCACAAGGGAATCTGTACTTTTCGGCTTCGAGCGCTGCAGCTGCGATTCTGGGATATTATCCTCAATTATTTTGGGCTGTGAAGATATCTGGCTGGAGACATGCGCCTTATGCTTATGTTTGACAAGAAGCATTATATACTTGTAGGACTTGTCGCAATGGTCGCATTTATAGTAATTATCGACGGACTCGCTATCCAAGCTAAACGAGAATTAGAAAATAAGTGAAGCGACAGATATTTCATAAATAGCAACATACTTTGCCGAACAGCTTTTGCCCTCAATTGAGCTGGAGATTTCTTCGGTTTGATTAGGCATCTCTTCTTCTTTTTGTGGCTTAGTTGAACTGTGAGCTCGTTGCTTGTGCCTGTAGAGATTGGTTACATATTTAAAAGACTTGTCGCATTTATTGCACCTGTGTAGCATGGGCAATTTTGTCTGTGCTGCCCGGCGCTGCTTTAGGGGTACATCATCATCGTCATCATCACTGCTGCCATCATCCACATTGCTGTTCTTAATCAAAGGATCAATTATGTTTGTTGGATCCGTTGTTGATGGCGTAACAGGCTCAGTGGACTCTTCCATTTTAATTGTTATACCCTCAATATCCAGCATTTGTATTGGAGTCTCGCGCAAACACTCTAGGGTGGCTGTTTCTGTATCCTCTGAGAGACTTTCTGTTGAGAGCTTCTGCAGCCAGAGCTCATAAGTATTACGAGCCTGCTGCACAAAGTCGTATGCATTTTCTAGCCTTTGAGAACAGTTGTGGCAAATCCAGGGCGGCAACTTGTCGGCTTGATCTAAACCAACCTGCAACAACAACATACATATGTATGGTACGTAAAGTGCTTCTTCAATCAATTCGATGACTTTGGGGGTGGTGGGCTAGATGGTTACCTCGAGCCTTGTTAACTCCAGCAGCAACTGATTGTACGTTTTATGTGCGTATTTATCAAATGGCTTCTCGATCCAATAACGTCCATTTGTACCGCCACAGACTCTGCACGTTCTTGTCATTGTTTGATGCGATTATAGTTTATAATCGTATCTACAACTCCAATTAGCTCAGATGTCAATCAACTTGCCAATTATATATACAAATAGTGGTAGGTTTTAATGTGGACACACTGGTGAGCAACAGCTGTTCACGGACAGCTGACCAATTATCGATATGTTAGGCTATCGATGCTGCAATGTTTTTCTTACACTAGCACTTGATTCTCATTGTGTGACTGTAATGTTTTTTATTTAAAAAAGAATTTATTTATCAGCATTGTGAAAAATGTTACCGACAGATATTTGTCGCACATGCACACTGCATGGTGATAGCTTGTTTCCGCTAACGACCCGCACAGATAAATATGAAAATAAAAGTTTAATTGAAATGTTACTTGAATTGACACAAAATGATGTAAGTAAACAGCTATTTAATTAGGCTGCGTGGTATTTACTTGTAACTTGTCATTTGCAGCCCCTGCTGGAGCATACAGATGACAGTCTGCCGCAGAACTTGTGTAGTGGCTGCTTGCACAAGTTGGAGGCTGCGTATGCGTTTGTATTGCAAGCGCGCCACGCTCAAGAGCAATTGTTATTGCAGCTGCGCAAAGGCTTGCAGACACAGTGCTTGGATGAGATGCCTATAGACATTAACTTGCAGAACATCAAAACTGAGATGATCGTTGACATGCAACCGGCTAGCAAAGCCAAGAGTGAAGAAGATGAGACGGAGTCTGAAGAGAGGGAGCAAGACATGGCTGCAGTGGCTATTCCAGCCCTGAAATGGCAGCCAGACAGCGACAGTGAAAGTAATCGGAATGCTGCTGATGAGTATGTAATTTGCTTAGTTTATAATTATCTTGTATATTAAATTTAACTGGCTTACAGACAGGATATTACCTTTAAGCCCAAGCAGCTGCGGCGCAGCGCACGTAAAGCCAAAACCTACACAGATAGCGAAAATGAAGCACCGTAAGCTAAATAAAACTTTGCATTGTATGATGTAACTATAACTTGCCCGACAGATCTATCGATGCGACTTCCTTGCCCATCAAACGGCGACGCGGTCGTCCAGCACGTCTTAAAACGGAGGGAATTAACGAAGAAGGACGGCATGTGTGCGAGGCTTGTGGAAAGAGCTTCTCCTGGTACCGTGACATGCAACGTCACTCGCGCATTCACTTCGAGCATCCAACCTTCGTGTGTGAGAGTTGTGGCAAGAGCTTCTTGCGCAAAGACAAATATATGTTTCATCTGCGTTCGCATGAAAAGCGTGCAACCAAATGTCAGGCCACGCAATTGAGCACCGAGTGGTGTTTTGCTGAACGTCTCTACAACTCCGGCCGCCTCAAGCAGGCGGAGTGCAAACTGTGCGGCTCGAAATACCAGCGTATAGGAGACCTGCGCGATCATATGACCGGCCATAAGAGCATCGAGACATTGTCTAAACTGAGTCTGGAGAGCGACGTTATCAGAGAACAGTTTACTAAAGAGCAGCAACAGGTTGACCTGGATCTGATCAAACAACAAATATGTGCTGACATTGCCAGAGGACGTGAGCAGCTGGACAAATACTGCGCCGTGGTTAACGCGTACGGATATGAGCTCTGTCTTAGCGACTCAGACGATGAAGCAGCTGATCAATCGCCTAAATACCAGTGTCGTCCATGCAACATCAACTTCACGCGCAAATATCGCCTTATGCGGCACACACTGGAGGAGCATACACAGGCGGAATCCGTAGTGTCTTGGCAACGCTGTGATGTCTGCCAAATTGGTTTTGTGTGTACTACAATGTTGGAGCAACATCAACGCACGCAGTGCCACAGCAAACTTAAGCGTTATAGTTGTCCCAACTGCCCAGGTAAATTTATCTGGCAGCAGAACCTGGAGCAGCACGCGTGCTCGCAACGTAGCAAGCAGCACAACGAGCAACGACAACAACAGCAAAAGCAGTGCTGTCTCTGTGATATCCAATTGAGCACCATGTTCGAGTTACGTGCCCATTTGCTTAGCCATCAAGATGGGCGCAATGGGATACATCCGGAGCTGCAGGCGACCTTCTTTCGCACCTACTATCCCAACGGCCTTGACTGCAGCTTATCGGAGCTGAGCGCACGGATTGCCGCTGACTTTAAGGCGGAGGATTATGGGCGATACTTTAATGCCAAAACGAGCAACGGCGAGGAGCTTGATTTCTTTGCATCGGACTCAGACTTGAGTGATGCAGACCAGCTGAGTTGTAGCGGTAGGTTTCACATATGTTGCCTCTGTGGCGAAACGAAAAAGCGTCTCAGTCAATTGCTCGAGCATCAGCAAAGCCATCATAGTGAGGTGCAGGAAAAGTTCCCATACGTGTGTGATGACTGCGATTTGAGTTTTGTAGCTGAGGCTCTGCTCCAACGGCATCGCCGACGTGTCTGTGCTAAGCAGCATGCCAAGTACGAGTGCCAGCAGTGTAATCAGCGCTTTTACTGGCTTCCCAATTATGAGTTGCATGTGCAGCTGCATCACGAGACCCATCCTGAGCTGCAGACGGAATTTGTCGATGAACAGGAGCGGGAGTTGCGGATGAGAGGTAAACGCCAGTCCAGAGCGGCCAAGCTGCAGTGCGGCGAATGCGAAAAGGTGAGCAACGATGAAACGAAAGTTAATTCATATCTAACCTCTGCCTTTCGTTTACAGGTGTTCATCTGGCCGAAGGATCTGACGCGTCATAAGCGGCTGCACCAGCCACAGGCTTTGGCACAATACCAATGCTTGCACTGCGACCGCAAGTTCCATCGCAAGGATGGGCTTAAGTCGCATATGCGTGTGCATAGCGAACAGCAGGCGAATGCTCCACTTGCCAGTGAACAAGCTCCATCCACCCTGCAGCGCATGTCCGTGGTGCTGACCCAACTATGTCGACCTAATGGCTGCAAGCAAATTCAATGCATGATATGCCTCTCGCAACACACCAAAATCTCTGATTTGCGCACTCATTTGCTCGACCATCAGTTTTCGGTCAAATTCGGAGAGGAGCGGAGCCAACCAGAAAGCATTGCGGGGATTTCACGTTTGCTGTATCCAGAACTACCCGAACCATTGGTGGAGCAGCAACTAATCGAACGCATCCAAAATGATCTGAGAAAAGGCGTGGAGCTCGAGAGATTCATTTCCATTACAAACGAGGCGGGCATTGAACTCAGCCTGGACAGCAGCGAAACAGAAACCGATTCGGACTCAGCCGAGACAGTCAAAAGCAACAGCGGGCAACTGTATAGCTGTGAGCTATGTCAGCTAAAGCTGACTCGCAAGCATCAGCTCTACGCCCATGAGCTGGAGCAGCATTCGTGGCAGCAAGCAACTCATGTTTGTAGCTACTGCCAGGCGAGATTCGTAAATGAGCAGCTGCTGGAGCATCACTATCGCACGCTCTGTCGCAACGCGCACCGACGTTTCATGTGTCGGAAATGCCCATTGCGTTTCCGCTGGCGCGAGAATATGAAGTTGCACTCGGACGTGGCGCACAACGAAGCTGGAGGCGAGCAATCGACCTTAGACATTAAGATGAACGGGACGCGCCTTTTACCCAGCGTGAGTTACAACTGCACGGAATGCAACCGTAGCTTCAAAATGCAAAAGGATCTCACTCGACACACTCTGATGCATGCCCAGGAGTCGAGCATTTACCGTTGCCGCTGGTGTGCACGACGTTTCTATCGCCAGGCCAATCTTTTGCAGCACATTGAGCGTCACGGCATTAGCGCCGAACAACTGCCCTATGCTGAGGCACTGCTCAATGCTAGCCGCCATCCCCATGGACAGAAGTGTATCCAATGCAAGGTGTGTAATGTGACTTACCCCACCATAGCTGCGCTGCGCACCCATCTTCAATCTGCGCCAGCAGGCACACATCATGAGTATGGCTCGTTGCTAAACTACTCAATCACCAATCAGCTGGGATACGAGCTGCATCTGGAAGACTCGGAAACGGATGAGGATGGTAAGCCACCAGGCACGCCCACTCACTACACCTGCAGCATATGCCAGCTGCGCTGTGCGCGCAAGTTTGAGCTGCATCAGCATCAGCAAGCGATGCATCGACTGGAACGGATAAACGAGGGCTGTGATGCCTGCATCTTTAAGAGTGTCTCAGCAGATCTCATTGCCTATCATCGGAGCGTCTTATGCTATAATACGGAGAAACACTTCAAATGCTCCAAGTGCGGCTACAAGTTTATGTGGGAAATGAATTTGGCGCAACATATGAAGCTGCAGCATCCCAGCAGCGATGGCAGCGAAACGCAGCTGAATGCAAGCTCGTTGCCTGCACAGGAGGTACCCAGCGCAGAGTGTCCGATTTTCCAGTGTGGACAGTGCCCTAGTAAATATAATCGCAAGGATCGTCTCACTGCACATGTAAAGAAATGTCACGCAGCGGGAACAAGTGGTCCTACGGCTGCTTCAGAGAAGCTTATAAAAAATGCAACTGGCGCCAAGCAGCAGAAGAGTTTCCTCTGCGCTTTCTGCGGCAAGGCGGTTAGCTCCTCATCCAATCTGATTATACACATACGTCGCCACACTGGCGAGAAGCCTTTTAAGTGTGACTATTGCGACATGGCTTTTCCACGTTCCTCCGATCTGCAGTGCCATCGACGCACTCACACGGGCGAGCGGCCGCACGTCTGCACTGTTTGCCAGAAGGGCTTTGCCCGATCCTACAAGCTGCAGCAGCACATGCGCATCCACAATGGCGAGCGGCCATACAAGTGTACTTATTGTGACAAGAGTTTCACTCAGTCAAATGATCTGACTCTGCACATACGACGGCACACTGGCGAACGTCCCTATCAGTGCAATACGTGCGGCGAGCGTTTTATTCAGGGCACAGCCCTGAAGAATCATCGCCTGCAACATGGACACCACGACACGGAAGCTGACCAGGTCAAGGATATCTAAGTGAGCCTATGATTAAAGAGATTATAAATAAATAAATGTAACATATTGTAAATTTCGCATTCAAAAAGCTAATTCGTAAAGTAAGTTAAGCTTCAGATTATAAATAAAAGTTGGCAATTTGAATTTCAAGTTGCCCACCGATAAGTTTGAACTAATCGCACTAAATTGCCACGATCGATAAATGTGGCGATGGCAAGTAAAAGTATCGAAGACTTCAAAAGTACTCATACTCAAACCTAACGTCCCGTTGTTATGGTTACACGTATCATAACGAAACAAGCTGTGTGTTTCGATTCGGTTGACTTATAATGTAAACTGTATCACGATAAACAATAATTAGTTAATAAAAAACAAAATATATAACTTTTAAATAAAATTATTGATGAGCCGCAAATACACAGATATAAGTTAAATTCTAATAAATAAAGGTGCAAAGTTAACGTATTTCTTTTAGGTTTCAAATTGCTTAGTTTGATGCTTTAAGCATCGGAAAATGGTCAAATCGAACAAGCAGCCGCGTCCAATGCCTGCCACAGATCGCAGTAGTACCAATGCCAGTGGCAGCGGTAACTACATGGAAAACACGTACTGTGTGGTGCTGCATGTCGTCGAGGGTGAGTTTTCTGTTATCCCTTTAGCTGCTCATTGCAATTATAATTCTAATTCTGTCTTAGCCATTAATTTTTATGGACGCGAAATGAGGGAGGGGGAGAGGGAACAGATTATTATGAATGCTGCCCTCAACACAGTGGACTTTGAGGTTGAGGGAACCCCTTCGGCCACATCGGAAACAATTATATTCAATAGCAATTGTATATGGGAGTGCGATATGGCTGGGATTAAACGTATCAAGACGGACCATCGGCCAGTAAAGGTCACATTTTATGCCAGCGGCGGTATAGAACGCAAGACCATTGGATCGCTGCTTCTACCAGTGCGTGGCTTGCCAGTTCTGGGCACAGGTGGTAACAACAGTCCGCAGCAGCTGAAAATGTTCTGGCATAAGCTAATCTGCATTAGCAATGAGTTTCGATCCCACAAGCCGGAGGTGCTGCTCATGTTGGCTATCATCAAAAAGTCTCTGCTACACACTAAGGATTTCAAGCATCTAACGGCATTTAATTGCTCAGTGAGTCCCGATCTAATATTGGAAAGCTGCTGTATGCATTTAATTCATTAACTTCATCCTGCAGGAGAAACAAAGCCCTACACCACCGCTGCAGTCGCCCGGCCATTCGATCACAGCCAATATGTTGCAGTCGCAGGTGCATCCAATAACACTTAAATTGTGAAACTTTGCTAATTACTGACTCATATACTCTCAGGCCAATGTCTATGTTCAGTCGCTGGTGCAGTTGGGTTTGCTTCAGGTGGGCAATGATCCTCTGGTCGACTGTGACATCATCGAGGTGGTGCTGCAATTCAAACAGCTCAAGAATGTCAGAAAATTTGTTAGATCTGTATACCAAGGAAAGTTGGATGATGTGGAAACCGTGTTGGTTATGTTTGACTTTGTCGGCAATGTCACGAATATTGAACTTAAGTTGAACCATGCGGATATCTATACTCTTAACGACGTGCTGGGCTTGCGCTTCAAATCGTCACTGCGTAGTATACGTCTATATTTCCAGCGCATATTTTATTTACCTATCAACATGTATGTTAATGGCTCCTCAATAGGTAAGGTCTAGAAACTATAGTCTGATGATTAGCTCTACTTCTAATTCTTTCTGTTAGCCAATTATCGCATGGACTTCGGTAAGCTGCTGCCGCCAGACACCTACTTTGCGGACAATCGTAAATTTGTACACACCGGTTGCTTTGCTTTCGACCGCTTCAGTCGCATGGGCAGTGCGCGTGAGGTGAAGCCAATCATGGATTTCACTTTTACAGTGGACATACAGGAGGTGTACTGGAGCCAGCAGGAAAAGCTGGAGGAACCATCGCTGAAGCAACAGGAACGGCATGAAGATTCGTTGGACATGCAATCAGTGGGCACCAAAGCTGTCATACTCGAAGTTCCTAAAGATCGTGTATTTGATAACGGGGTTGAATGGACTCGTAATTCCGAAATGCAATCCGTTTCTGGAAATGGATCCGTGGATAGCTTGAACGTAGGTGCTGAACTTTCCGAGTCGGATGAACGAGAAATACCGCTGGAGTCAGTGCAAGATTCCGATGTAGCGTCAACTGTACATTCATCTCAGGGACGACGCAGGAAATTCATAAGGCTCATAGATAAGCCCGTTCAATATAATAATGAGGAAGAAGATAAAGACCATCATTATGATCCAAAGGTTGTTACTAGAAAACTGCCTACAAGACCGAATCATAAAGACAATCAGTCTGGAGATGATTTAATAGATGATTTAGATGATGATGTTGGCTCTGATTCTTATGCTGAAAATGATAGCTACGACAGAGCGGAAGACTGGCTGGCGGGTCGTGTTGATGACCCAAAAAAACCTAAGCCTAAACCTAAACAGAAACTTAGCAGTTCAGCAGCTTCAGGTTTAGAGAAACCTCCATCCAAAGCAGCAAAAGATGAAAAAATCAGGGGTTTACTTGGGGATAGTGCAAAGAAGAGTAGTATTCTGGAATTACAGCGCATAGATGAAGAAGCAACTAGATTTCTGCAAGAAGAAATGCTACTTAGGGAGCAAATGCCAAAACGAAAGGGAAAAAAACATTCAGATAATAATATTCAGAATTATACAATTGATGACAGTATTATAGATGATTCTTGGGCTGAATTGGAACAAGAATATAAAAATATAAGCCATGATTTGGAAGGAGAACTAATGACTAAATCAAGTCCAAGAGCTGCTTCCAAAACACGAAAGTCCCAAGCGCAGGCAGCTCGTGTCGAAGCAGTTGACCGGAACACAAGCTTTCTAGATTCTACATTACCTGAAATGATGGATGATCACAGCAACAGATATTCACATATAAATTCGACGGATGATTCATTTGAAAATAAGCCAAAAGTCATACGCAAGAAGAAGATTGTCTCAAAAACAGAGCACTTGGAGGTGTTGGACGTTGGATCCACCTCCCGCTTACGGGGAAATAAATATATGTCTTCACAGGAAAATCTAGAGGCAGTTGCGTCCGACTCGGCTAGACAGATATTGAAACAAATTCTCAAAGATAAAGTTGGTAAAAAGCCCAAAAACGTAATTGCAGACATGGACAAGCCAACGGAAACGGATGTGCTGGAAGAATTGCTTCAGAAGCCAAATGCACACAAAAGCAAACCAATGCCAAGTTTCGAAGAAAAATGTAAATCTAGTGAATCAGTATTACCCAAGAAAATACCAAAACCGAAACAGTCGACTTCAAAAGCGGACCTTTCTCTAAGCGCTCGCTGGGTGGAGGTAAGCAAGGAGCAGACTCGAGCCTTGGAGGAAACAGAACAGTTTATTGCAGATAGCTGCAAAACAGAGCTAGATGTATTCTCAGTTGAAGAGCAGTGTTCTCAGAGCTCAAAGAAACCTAAAAAAAAGAAACTGGGTCGCACATCGCGCTCGATAATTAGAAAGAATATTGAATATAGTGAGATGAATGTTAGCTCGGAAATGGAATCAAACATCGATAGTTCATTAATGAATGAATCCTTTAAGGAATACATGCCTAAGCGTAAAGTGTCAACAAGGGAGTGTTCCAATATCCATTCGTCTCAGGACATTATAGTGTCAGAAATGAATTTGAAAATTGAAAATAATACTGAAAGTTCCTTCGTAGAGCAGTTGAAACTTGAGCGCAAACTGATTAAAAAGAATAATGACTGTGATAAATCACAGGATCCCATTGCCAACCCTGTTACCAATCCTATTGCAAAACAATCCACTCCCAATACTAGCAAGCTCAGAGAACGGATTCGTCATAAAACTGAGAATGTCGCCTCAGAATTGGAATCCAGTCCCACTCGAAAGTTTGAGAAAAAGCCTCGGCAAACTGTACACCGATCTGCATTGCATAAATATTTGGACGCAGAAGAAGCATGTGCCACTTCTCAGCAAGTGGCCGACCAGTCTGAGAAACCATTAAAGAAACGCACCGTCAGGGCAACAGCCTTCGAGCCTTGGGAAGCAGAGGCGCTTGAACTGCAGTCGATAGGGAGCAAAGGTGTTTCGAAGAAAAGGACAGCTAAAGTGCCTTCTGATGTCAATCAGTTGCAGCAGACGGTCATCGACAAGCTCTGTGCTCTAAAAGAGAAGAATTCCGCTCCATCCCAGCTGGGTGCAGCTGCACCTGTCTCCCACTTGGAGGTTACAGTGCACATGTACGACGACAAAAAAGTTGCAGAAGAGCGAGCCAGAGATGGCACCACGTATGTGAACCAGAGCGTGAACACAGATATCACCAACATGAATGAGAGCATCAAGCTCATTTTGGCGACTGGCAGGAAACTGCAGGACGAGATGCAGCGGAAGACGCAAGAATACATGGACAGTCTAAGTCAGTACCGATCTGAGGCGGATTCATCGCAGCGGACATCAAACAATGAAACGCCGAAGAGTATCCATAACATGACTAATATTGGTGCTGATTACGAGTCCAAATTTGTCGAGCTGGAGCAGCACATAGGTGAGCTGGAGCAGCATTTGCGTAAGTTTGAAAGCCGCACACAGGATATGCAGGATATGAACTCAAAGCTGGAGAACGAGAAAATTCAATTAAAGCAACGCATCAATAAAATGGAGCTCCAAATAGAGCAACTGCGCCAGCAGGGCACCAGTGGCAACAATCTGCAGGAGGTGCTCAGTGAGATGCGCCTACAAAACATGCGCTACATGGACATGAGCAAGGCCAAGGATCGGTACAAGAAGCAATGGCGGCGCAGTGCCAAGCGTGTCCACGCCCTCAAACTGGCCATGTACGAGAAGAGAATGGAGAGTGAAAAAAATTTGCCACAGTAAGTTAAAGTTAAGACATTTTACTTAGCCCTATTGACATGTTACTTCCGTTACTTCCTTTCAGGATGCTCAATCTGAAGAGTATTCTTACCAAGGATGCTGATGAGTTCGAGCGTGAGTTCGGTCGCTTCCGCCGGTCGAACACAGCGCTCAGCTTTTCCGGTTCTGGTGATTCGCCGGAGCCGTTGCTAAAAGATTATCTGCGCGGTCTCTCCAGTCAAGCAGTAGACCAGCATAAGCCTGTTAATCATGTGGAGAGCAGTCGGATGCATTAGCCCCATTTCCATTCAACGAAATTGTACGTGATTAATGGTTAATTGATTGTATACTCAGAGGATTCCCATCCTTATTTGCGTTAGTTATTTGGTTTATCGTAAAATTTCTGTTTTCTTGAGACAAGTAAATATTTTATGTAGAATTTGTGATTAAATTTAAGTTTATTCAACTAGTCCTAAGATATCATGTGTAAAAGTAAGGTTTACGCTTCCGATTACGATTCACCGACCTTTTGATCAATCTCCGTGACAATCGACATTCGTTTACAAAATTGAAGACTGTTTTAAGATTTTTTATTTTCAATTAATGTTTAGTTTAGGCTTTAGTCAACCAGCTTAAAAACAAAATGGATTGCTGTTAATGTAATTTTCTGTTTATTACTATAAAAATATGTATATAAATTAACGCTTGGAAACCCTCATTTACTCCAACTTAAAGCCCACGCGCACAAAGTGGGGCAATGTGTTCAGTGGTGCAGAGTACTCCATGAGCCAGACGGGACCCTTGTAGACTGTCGCGGTGTTTCCATCTGTCCACTCTCCCTCGGGCAAGTAAATGTCGCGATTTCGAGCATTTTCCACAATGACCGGAGCTGCAATGATGTCATCGCCCAGCAAAAATTCTGCGGAGAAGTTGAAAGGGATTCACAATTAGGTCAGTGATTGAGAATCATAATGATGCAAATCAACATACCATCGTAGATGCTCTGAGCAACTACATCATCGGGCGCAATCCACCAGAGTGGAGCGTTGACAGGTTCGCCCGTTTCCGTGGCGCGTTTGAACATCTTCATTATGTAGGGCGTATAGTCGGAATGCATCTTGGTGAAGTTCTTGCTAATCGCAATAGTCTCACTATCAAAGTTCCAGGGCACAAAAGAGAACTGCAAGCTGGGCATGAAGACATTGGCCTGCAGCCAGCGTAGGAAGAGCTCCTTCGTGGGCGGCTTTCCGTTGTAGCCGTTGCCGCCAATCATGTCGGGAAGCACAAAGGGATATCCATTCATGTTCATCTGCAGCAGCGAAGTGATCAGAGTCACCAGGCCATTGTTCCAGCCCCACTCCGAGTCTTTGTCCACAATGCGCACAAATATGGGCAAGTCCTGCGTGCTCTGGCCAGAGCGCACCTCTACCATGTCGCCAAAGGCGGCCACTGTGCGCACATAGTCGGTGGAAATCTGTAGCGGTGTTTGATATGCGTCACCCTGGAGCACCGGATCTGTGGGCACCCAGCTGGTTTCGCCGGCATCAAACTTGAAGCTGTCAATGCCATCCTCTGTCTGCAGACGTTTCAGGCGAGTGCTGAACCACTCCTGCACTGCGGGCTTGGTGAAGTCCAGATAGGCTGCATCCTTTGGCTTGCTGTTCCACCACTGCGTATCGGCACTGCCGGCATGATCAACCACCAGGTAGCCCTGATCCTTGGCAGTTTTGTAGATGGCTGTGCAATTGTTGTTAATGAAGGGATGAATCCATAAGGTTACCCTGAAGCCCAACGCCTTGAGATCGTCTGTCAGTTTCTTGGCATCTGGAAACTTTTCCTTACGGAACGTCAGAGCACCATAGCAGTCCTCCCAATCGTCGTCAATCTCCAGCTGACTGTTCTCAAAGCCATTGTCAAGAATCTGCTTTGCAAAGTCGCGCACCACCACGTCGGAGACCTCCGCCTTGTATAGCGCCCAAGTGGACCAAACCGGATGCTGAACCATGCGCTCATCTGGATAACCTGTGGGCTTGCCCAGCAGCGTCTTCACCGCATACATATGGGCAGCCTTTGCATCCTTGGCAAATCCGAGCTGATAGCTGAATTTGGATGAGGATAGACGCGTGTCATAGGGCAGAGCACTGAATGCGCTGATGCAGAGCTGATCCTCCAGACCAGGTGCATTCTGATCAATGAACAGCGGAGTTGTATTATCCACGAAGAGGAAGAAGCCCTCGCTGTTCAGCCAGTACCGCTCTGCCACGCCCATATTACCCAACTCCTTGGGCACGTATGAGAAGTTGCTGTATTGTTGACGCTCCACGGGCCAATAGTGTTGCTTCTGCTCCGAGCCACCAAACCAATGGACGCGTCCCTTATTCAGCATGACACAATCCCTGGGCTGCGTGCCCTTTACCACCTGATCGCGAGCCACACGGACATGGGTCACACCGCTGCTAGATGGGAGCAAGCTGAATTCGATGGTGGTGCTGCCATCGCTCAGCTTGAAGCCACCCGTCGATGTGGCTTCCAGATCGCTGCTGGTGACAAAGTTATCCAAGGTCACGGTCTGCAGCAACTTGCTGCCCTTCATTAGCTCATATTGCAGCTTATCGCCGCGTCGCAGCCTCAAGTAGATGTCGCTGTTATCGAACTTGAAGCGCTGCTCGATGGTCTTGCAGCCTTGACCCGTCGTCCACAGGCAGCAGACTGCCAAAAGCAGAGCCGCACTTCCGTAGCCGAACTGCATTTTCGTAAAACTGTTTCCACAACCAAGCGAGCTCCGCGCTTATATAGCAAACGGTAGAGAGTGTTATGTGCACAAATAAAGCTCTCGAGGCGTGCCTACAGTCCCATAGCTGAAGATGCACTCCAGGCAGCGGCTGATAAGCGACTATCAGCTAGAGCTCTCATCGAACCTAATGTATAATGCGCTATATATACTACTTTATATACACGAACACATTTTGTCAATAGATTCCGAGTGCTATAATGCCACTGAGAGGCGGGCAAATGATACTCAATGACACTTGTAATGCTAACTGTTGAATTATTTCTGTTGTTCTATACAATATATACATCTATAAACTATAGTTAAGTGCTTCATAATTATCAATTGTATGGAAGAGCCCACATAACTTATCAGTGCATGACTAACTATTAAAGGACACCATACATTGAATGAAAAGAGCAAGTTACGTCTCAGTTGCAAGAAATGGCGAAATACCACAGTTTTTATATGGGCTACCTTGGCATAAGGTCATCAACTATCATTATCTCTGCCAAGAAAGCCAAGGAATATTTCAACAATACAGATTATTGAATAAATTTCATAAAGAAAGTAACATTAATTTGTTATAATTTATATAATTGGAATATATATTTGATTTATTTAGTGTTTAGCTTAAAACTAGGATAATACATTTTGGAAAATCAAATTCAAGAAAAATAAATAATTTAAGCGCGTATTAGAAATAAATCGCAGAAACTTGATTGAATGTTTTTAAAAATGAGCTTTTTATTTATACTCCTTCATACAGTGAAAGAGTATATGGACTTGGGACTGATTGCCCACTCGAAAGATCGATCCAAAAATATGATGCCAAATCGTAAGCTATAACAGTTTACCAAAAACATCGGGGTATGAGCGCGTATGGTATTATGAGTTCCCTCTTGAACTTTATATGAGTTGTAACTAGATGTAAATGCACTTAGGACTATTTAAATAGGCTGCCAGACTTGGGTTACTTGGGCACCAGCTGGGCGTGCTCCTCCATCTCCTCTTCGATCTCTCCATCTTTAAGCGACTCACTGGGCAGCTGACTCGACTGCAGCTCATCGTGGTACTCGAGCACATCGCTCGGATGATGATGTCGTGCATTGAAGAGCTCGTCCTCCTGGTCTTCGCCGCTGTCGTCGGCTTCATCGTCGGCAATCAGAGCGACGCGGGTATAGAGTTCCGACTTGTCCTCTCTCCGTTGGTAGAGCATTCCGCCAGCCACGCCCACGCCCACCAGTGATACAATAACCGCGATCACAAGCAGCGCAGTGGTCCAGGTCATGTACTGTACCCTGGCATCGGTTTCCAGTTGGGGATTAGCCGGATTGGTGACATCCGTCACGGTGCTGCGCACAACGTAGGCGTAGCAGTAGGTTTCATTGGTCTCAACCAGCTTGCGCAGCTGGCTGCCCGGATAGCAGGTGCTGCACTGCGAGGCACTGGGGCCGTAGCAGCGCAGGCAGCTCTTGTCACAGCTGGCGCAGATGCGACTGTGGCGCGGTGTCAAAAGCACGGTGCTGCTGGAATCACTGCTGCGACGTCGACGTTCAGCCGCCTGCAGTGGATCGTCCAGATCGCTGAAAGATTGGTCACTGCTGTGCAGCTCATTGTCGACGTCTGGTACAGCATTAGCTGCTGTGATATCTGAATCGCTGAGCGCTACGTCCAGATCTATTTCATCCACCTTGTTCTGGGCGAAGGTGTGTCGGGGACACTCGTCATAGCAGAGATCCTGATAGAAGTAGCTGGGCTCCTGGCATTCTGTGAAGAGCAGTCAATGAAGAGAATTAGTTCCTGAGCGATGATGGGCAAGAGATAAGGAGCTGGTTACAACTAACCAATGATGAGAAACCATTTACCTCCGAAACAGTGTTGATAAATGGAGCAAAGAAGTTGGAAAATAGCAATGTTTAGTTAGTATAGCAGTAGAAGAGTTGAAATCAAAACATAAAATAGTAATGTGTACAAAATATAGGCAACAAAAGAATTACATTTTTAATTATTTACTAATTTCTTTATTTGTTTGTTTTTTTTTTTTCATTTTTTTTTTTGTTTTTTAATAGTTGAGTCTCTGCTGAAACTTTTCTATTAACAACAAATGTTTAAAAGCAAGCGCAGTAGTCCAAAAAACATGCTCAAAATAATAGTGGAAAATCAAGAGGAATGTGCGTATGTGCTGTACCGAAACCAGTGTTGGAAAGTAAACAAGCCATAACGATGAACAGTGTGAGAGTGCATTAAAAAACTATGTTAAATTATAGATTTTACGAGATTAACGAATAGGAATACCAAATTACAGTGTTAATAATCACACAGCAGCACAGTACGTCGAGTACATGGGTTAAAAAACAACAGATTACACAACACTAAAGAGTACTAGAAAATTTGAAAAGTTCAATGTTGCTTAATTTTTTTTTAAATCTTTTCTTTTTTTGTATTTTTGCCAAACTCACCTTGCTTTTGAGCTATACGAGAAGGGAACGGAGTGTTCAATTTTGTAACTGTCTAAAATGTTTTTGGACCACATTTCTTTTTGTTCTTACTGCGCAGTGAGAAAAACTTTGTTGTTGCAAAAAAAGTTTCGCAAAAATTTGTTTTGCGTAAATTAAATATTTGGTTACGTTTTCAATGCATTTATTTATTACTCAGATAGTTAT